AAAACAATTTGTGGTATTCATTGCATAATAGATTAAAGACTGCCGCTTATCGGCTATAAGTACAGCTAAAACGCTAAACAGCTATAGCTATACGTGGGCAGTCGATACTCGCACCCAGCTCGAACCCAAGGTTATATATACAAACATGCGACTACATACATACATATCTGGCACATGGAAAGCTTGCCAAGTTTAACACTTCTTCGGGCGATGCAATCTTATCAAGACTCTGTGGCATTAATATACCAGTTGTGTCGTGGCTATTTACACAACAAAAAGTAAATGAAATAAGTACATACTAGAAAAAGCATAACCACTTTATATACCCTATAAATGTTTGTTCGACAACAAAAGAGAAGGATTATTTATAACAAAAGCTGATATTTCTTTTAGCGATAACCGATTTCTTATGAGCACAGATAAGATAGCTGTAGTCGCCAGACGTGCAAAGGGTTAAAAACTATTAAGTTTGTTTAATAAAGAAGTTGTATATTAAGATCGAGGGAGCACTCATAAAAGTGTCAGAAAAGCACATCGTAAATTTGGACATACATAATGATATAAATAAAATATGTTCATAATAATAAAAATACTACTGTGGAATACCTAAAAAAAAAGCGCACCTTGACTCAACCAAAAATACAACATATATATATACATTTATTTCGAAAATAAGTAAAAAAAAAATGTTAATGAATTTGACAAGCACTTGGTTGAAGCTTTGCTTTTTTTATTTTTGTTGTCAAGTATTTTGCGCCGTTTGCATTGAAACTGAAAAGTCGACAGTGAGTCACGCGTTGAATGATACCAGACTACAAATATTTCAATTGCTAAAATACAAAAACAAAAAAGTTATTATTCTGGGAATTTTTTTTGGGCAAATTGATAAGGACTGTCAAGTGTGTGCTGATAATAGAAAGCGGCAAATTCGTGCAGAGTGTTCAGGGTGCGCCAAAGAACTGATAATCAGGGCAAGCTTTCGTCCATCTATAACTATTGGAACTATTTGTTCAAGTGCGTAAGTTATGGACTAATGAGTTCAACGGCAGTTCATGGGAAAACGCATTTGGGTAAATAAATAAACAGGCAGCCATAGCTATATAGATGGATGCTTTACAGCCACCGAACAAACAATTCAACAATACAACAATACTAACAAAACAACACACAAAATGTAGGCCAAATAAATGAGAGGCGGTGCATAAACAAAAATTAAAGCTAGATGTAAACTTATCAGCGCTACAAACAATTTACACATTCGAGATGCGCTCGCTGCTCCACAAAGTTTGCTTCTAGTTATAGTTGTTATGGGAAATAAGTGCAATTAATCAGTGTTCGTACATTTATAGACTCTCAGCTACTTAATCCTGGGTCTACCGCACAGCGGAGAGCCATCAGCACAGGACACTTGACTTAATGGATCGTAAAAATTTGGCGATTCGAAAAGAAAACCAATCGTATTACTATTTAAAAAAAAAAAACAAAACAAAAAAAGCTGCTAAGTGTTGCGGGTGCTGTGCTCTGAACTTGAGGAATTATCAACAAAGCCAAATCTTGTTGGTAGGCAGAAACTTGTTTTGTTTTGTTTTGTTTTTCTTTTTTATTTTTATTTTTTTCAGTTCCCCATTGGTTTTGGGTTTAGTTTGGTTTGCAAACTGACGCCATCAACCGGTTTGTTAGCCAGCCTTTTTTCGGCAACGCCAAAGTATTTGGTACGCGTTATGTTTTATGTGTGTGCGAGCACTAAAGTATCTTGAAGATACACAGCCGTGACTCACAAACGGCGTACGTGTAGCTGCAGCAGCAGCGACGCAGGCTTTCCATTTCATTTTCAAGATATATTTTGAAAAAAAAAAAATAAGAAACAAACATATTTTAGAGATCCATATATATATGCGCGTACATCTATGTATATGTATATGTATATATTAAAGTATATATTTTGTGCTCTTCGCGCAGCTATTTCGGGATCGCTTTTATATATGTCTGTGTGGGTTGCTCGGGATGCCAGAGCATTCACATGTGTTTATGTACTTATGACAGTGCCAAAAAAAAAGCACTTGGCAGATGCATATACAGTATGACTATGGCTGACACTTGGTGAGAAAGTTTGTAATTCATTTTCAGCATGGACTTCAAATTGTCACTTGAAAGCCATAACAAATAGGATATCTATAGACTGAAAGTATATAACAATACTACTTTTATTGAAGTCTTGTTAAATATTATGTAAAAACGAAATTTGACTCACTTGGGGAAAAAAATATCTTATATGAGAGAGGCCTTTTTAAGATTTAATAAGAATTAAACCCCTTATTTTTATTTTAAATATATTTTTGGTTTTCTATATATAACGAATCCCAGCAAGATTCACCCCTTATTTTAGAAAAATTCTAAAAGCAGTAATCAAATTTGCACTCTTGACTGAAATATAATTGTAAGTTTAAACTTCGGTTTGCCCAAGAATTTACATAATTTGTATTGTTGTTTGCTGTTTGTTGATGTTGCTGTTACTACACACAGATCCCAGCCAAGTACGCAGCACATGATGTCATACCACACACACACACACACTCACACATACAGAGTGGGAATAAAAGAGCGCGAATAAAAACGTAAGAAATAAAACTCAACGTTTGATCATAATATAAAATGCAGTTTTTGCCATTTGCCATTTCTCAGTTTACATTTCATTTCATTTCGCTGGGTTTCGTTTCAGTTTGTTTTGTTTATGGCTGTTGTCTGGTAAAAAACGAAAGTGAGTTATTTATTTTTTGGCTTTATCACAGAGTGTGTTTTGCCTGTTTCTTTCATCATTTTCCTTTACAAAGCGTATTTTTTTTTGCAAGTTTTTGGCGCATTTCTGACCCTCATTTCAATTAGCTCAATGGGTTTTTTTCCTCAAACTTTACACGTAGTGTTTTACTTTTTAATGGTTGATTTTCCGGGTTGGAATTTTGTAATTATAGTGTTTATAAACTTAATAACAAATTGATTTGCGTTATGCTGCGCGTCGATTATGATTACATATACGAATCGGATTATCGCATTGTTAGCTGGATGGGGTAGTTGTTGTGTAATAAACAGTTTGTGATGTGACTGCGACTGCGACCATTGATAAGTCTTTCAAGTTTTCCAAACTAGTGCAAGTGTTTACACTTAAGTGGTGTAATTAATGTTAAGCTGCTCTTTTGGAGATGTTACAAGACTCTTGAAACTAAGTTATTCAATCAATCAAACGTAAGGGGTAACAAATGCTTTGGCTAAGGTATCACAAAGTTGGGCAAGAAAACGACTGACTTGCTGAAAATGTTGTAAAACCAATTTAATTTCTTAATTTAATTTATAGTTGGACATTTTTTCAAAATAGGTTTTCGCTTCGAAGCACTTGTGTAACTTACACATTTTGTCCACTCCGTTTCTATTTAACTGCGCAGCAGTGTCTGTTAACTGTTTAGGCCACGTTCAGGGAGGTACGTGTACATTTAAACGTATTTCATGTCATGCAGCGTGTGTCAGCAACTTGTTGCATGCCACAGCCGGCATATTGTCAACTTTTGTGACTGCCACCTAGATAGCATTATGGTCTATGGTCTGTGCTTTGGGCATGGGTCGTTGCATTGCATGCCTCGCTGGGCTGCTGTTTGTGGTTCGATGCCTTGACGATGATTATCAATCGCAGGCTCATCATCATCATCGTCATCATCATCATCATCACAACGACGTGAGTTCTACTTTTGCTTTGTGCACGTGCTTTGTTATTTGTTTATTTAGTTTGTTATCAGTGCGTCACGAAATAGTTTTCGCCTTTTCCATATTATGCGGCACTTAACAGCAGCAGCTTTTAATGATGATTAAATATAATATAATTATGGAAATGAGCTCTTTACTTAGCATATCTATTCAAATGTTAATTGATTCATTTAGCTGCTCTTTAAGAGTATTATTATTAGTATTACTTAGCTAGTTTTATTTCAGCAACAAAGAGACTTTATTTATGAATAGATCTGATTCATTGCCAATAGCTGAAGTCAACTATATCTATACCAATATTTGTTTCTTGTTATTGATATCAGACGAGGGGAACTGTCTTTTATAGTTGGCTAATGGGATTATCAAAAGGCGTGGCGAATACTTATCGTATTGCATCATTCGATTTGAGAGACTTCTTTACGTCTCTCTGCTCGTCGGAGTCATTTACGGGAATGTTCTCGGGTATATTTTGAAATGGAACTCTTGAAATTCCAGTTTAACATTTTTGTATTTGTATATTTCGAGCCGGTTTTGGATTTATATATGTTATAAACATTTAAGAGATTTCTTTTAATAATTAAATATTATAAATGAATTTCGATATTTGACACTGTACTGATCTGCTAAGTTCCAGTTATAAATACTTCTTATATATAAATTCAATCTCAAAAAATAGACTGATTAATAAATAGATCACTGAAAATTTTTTTTTTAATCAAACCCCAATTAATGATTCTCTAAAGAGCACTTAATTAAGTATTTCAACACTCTAGCTGGCATACTATTAAGCCAATTTCCCAACTCATTATATTTAGACCGTTTCGTTACGGTTCATGAAAACAACCAACAGAAAAAAAAATCGGACAATGGTAACCAGACCATAAACGTCACTGGGTCAAAAGCGAGTAATATGAAGCTGCTGCTGCTGCTGCAGGTCTTTAAGTGACTTGGCTTAATTGAAAATCTGATATAAATCAAGTCAAGTTAGCAAACTTAAGAACCGCAACCAGTTTGACAACCTTGACTGAGGTACAAGGCTGTTGCAGTTGCCGCACACACAATGTGGCAACATTTATAATTTGTAAGTACAGAGAACAAAAATGTGCCGAAAAAATAAAGTTTCTTCATACATACATTCTTCATGAAAATTTTAATTTAATTGGGATATTTCATTGAAATAATGTTCCACAAAACTACAATGACTGATGCACGAATTTCATGATGATTTTTTTCAGTGTATTACTTACCGCTTGCGCAAGTTGTCCATGAACTTTTCCATATTGACCTGGTCCAACAGGACAAAGTCCTGCACACCCGCCTCCCTTTGCATTGCCATTTTTGTGCGTTTTTGTTTTGCTCACAGAAATCGTACAGAGAGCGAGAGAGAGAGTCCGAGAGGTTGTCGGGTAGAGAGCGGCGTTTGGTTGCGAATGAGAAGAGCGAGAATTGCCGAATAACGTAAGGCCGGCTGCAAAGGGCGAATTCAGGTAACGAACGTAGCAGTTGACGACGATCACGTTGCAGAGGATGAAGTCGAATTAGCAACACACACACACGCACACAAAAACGTAAACGGAGAAGAATTCACTGGGACTTTTTTTGGTTTTTATGTTTGTTATGCTTTTGTTTGTTTGCGCGGTTGACAATCGTTTCGAATTTAAAATGTGATTTTATATGTGTTGTGCTTTTTGCCTTATGACTATTTTCAGCTGACTTTGCCAAAAAAAGAAGTCAACAGAAAAACTGAAGAGTTCTTCAAATATTTATGTTATTAAAATCAATAAATATTTGTGCTAATTGAATAAAATATAGTGAGGGGCCGGAATCTTAATGGAATTTCGCCGAAATCCAAAAAGCACGAGGAGAACACAAAACAGACGCGAAAGACACGGCGAATGGAACAGAACACAATACAAAAACCGCAAGTTGTGCGTCGCCTTTGGGTATCATTTATTTAGTGATTGGCGATCGCAAGAACTTGTTCAGGCCGCGCGTCGATGCCAGAGTAAAGTTAAAGCCAATAAATACAAATTGTATCGCCCCTAGCCATACACACAGCCAGCTGGTTTCTTATTTATCGTTTTCAGAGAGCCGCACCACACGGAGCAACAACACGACCACTCGGCTGCGCGTTCGAAGAGAAACTGTTCGGAGTGACGCGACATAACACCACGCATAGCTATCAGAGAGACGACTGTGCGCTCAGCTGCTCTGCCACTACTACTGCAATAGCAGCGACTGCAGCGCAAGTGGTTGTTGCACTCAGAGAGTAAAATGTGCAAGTTTCAGGGAGTTGACTATTGGATTTAAAGAGAATATGAGAAATACTAAAAATATTAATTGGGTGTATAATGAAATTCTAGTTTAAAAATACAATTGCTAATATTTGTATATAATACTTGCTCTTAATTTTGTTTGAACGAAAGCACAACTGCTAAAATAAACAATAATTCTATTTTTTTTCGCTCAGTGTTGGATGTTTTGTTGTTCGGCCAAGAAACAGAGTTGCTCATCGGTTTTACACGGCCGGCGGTTTGCGTCCGTGCTAGAGAGTGGGTGTGGGACGCGACTATAGTATAAGTGTAATTTCTAGTGAGTCACGATTTTTAGCTTGCCACACATGTAATTTATCTGCCATAAATGTGTGTGTGTGTGTGTAATACATTGGATGAAATGCAAATTAAGATGATGACATTGAAGCAATTAGGCTTAAAAGTGCCACTCATTAAAATTAAAACTTATAAGCGACACAAAATAAACATTGCATGCTTTCGGGATGAATGCATAAATGTAATAAAAGCGTTTTTACTAGCGACGGCATTTTAGCCATTTTTGACCTATAGAAAAATAAAAGAAAAGAAATTGTAATTTTAACATACGTTTTTCTTTGAAGATTCAAGCTCCGATGAAAGCAGTGAAAAGGCCTTGGAAATTAAATTTTGAAAACAATTGATTTTAAATTATTTTATATATATGATTATAACTTAACATAATTTAGTCTAAACTATATTTAATATATACATATATTGTATTCAATTTGTTTGTGCAGTTTCCTTAAGAAATTTACAATGACAACGCAGTGAAATGCAAGTGGCAACCACTTGCTTAAATCCAACCCGTATTCCTCTTGGACAGAATCACCTTCTGCACATGCTCCTCGGCCGTGTAAATGGTGTGCAGGCCACCAGCATGACGAGGCACACACTTATTGACGGGCACTGTGCCGAGTCCGAGTCCGGTGCCGCAAGGATTGGCAAAGTCCTTGCGATAGTTGGCGCCAACGCCCGATTTGCGTAACTGGCCCAGTTCGAAGGTAACCAATGGCCCCATGCTGAATGAGGCCTTGGCCGCTGTTGGATTGGGCAGCTTGGAGCGCTCCATGGTGCGCATTACACAGGGCGTGTCGCAGGAGAGGCATGCCAGCTCCTGCATGACCTTGACACGCCCGGCGGCAGCGGCGCAATCATCGTTCGTCATTTCCATATATCTGTGCAGGGCCTCGGCAATGAGGGCGACACGTTTCTCGATCATCTCGCGGAAATCCTTCAGGCTGAGCTCCAGCGAATCGATGCCCAGTGTCATGCGTAGACCATCAATAATTTGCAGGACATTCTTCTCGTTCACATTGATGATGTGACGCACCTCGCAGAACTGTTTCTCCAGTCGCTCTTTGTAATCCTCGAGCTGCTCGAGCGACACCTTCGTCGCCAACTGGGGAAAGTCTACCTTCTCCGCTAGCAGCAACTCCACATCGGCCTTATCAATCTTGATCTCATCCAGATGTGCCACCGAATTCTTGAGTGTTTGTATCTGTACCGTTGCCGCATTCAGTTTATTCTGCATTCCTTCATTCGCCTCCTGATTGCCGGCAGAGGATAGCTTAATCTCTCGCACTGTCATCTGCATCTCCTGCATCATCTCCAGCAGGCGTTTGGCATCCTGTTTGATCAGCTCCGCGGCGAGTTCGTTGACCTTGTTGGTCAGCGAACAGAACTCGGATTTGAGTTCAAGTAGCTCGGTCAGCATGCGATCGGGTGCATAGCACAAATGTGGCTCCAGATCTAGTTGCTCCTCGGCCTTGACCTGCTCCGTGGACGTGGTGATCTCTTCTACGCACAGCTCCTCCTCCTCGTCGCCCTCCAGTTCCTCGATGACCAGTTCACCGCTGCTCCGACTGATGGACACCTCGTCACCGGCCACACGCATCAGAACACGCAGCTGCCGGGCTATGTTCCGCAATAGCTTGATGCGTTCCGGATTCGGTTTGCTATCGAGCACCAAGTGGGTCACATTGTTCAGCTGCTCCATCGTCAATTTCATTTGGCCCGTCAGCGTATTCGCGAAGTTCTGAAACTCCAAATCCTTTTGCTCCTTCAGCAATTCGACCCTGGAGATCCTTCGCTCCAACTTGGCCATGCCGCCTATGACGGAGCCTTCAACGCGCGACTGAGATTTCTCCAGCTTAGAGGTGCGCGAGGAGCCGCGAGAGGGCACGGTTGGTGTTGGCAAATCTGGTTCGGCTGGAGGTAGCACGGATTCGGCTTCCTCCGGTGGAGCGATGAAGTTTGGAGCTGCAGCAACCTGCGATTCTGGTGTCGGCTCTGGCTCAGCAGGTGTCGGCTCAGCTGGTGTCGGCTCAGCTGGTGTCGGCTCAACTGGTGTCTGCTCCGCCTCAGCTGGTGCAGCCTCCGCTGCGGCAGGCTCAGCAGCGGCAAGATCAGCACCGGCAGGCTCTGCTGGAGTTGAAGCTGCTGCCTCTGCGACAGCTGGAGCTACCTCTGCTGGTGGTGGTTCGTTGGGCACCTCTGTGGCTGCTTCTTCCTCATCGCCACCGGCCTGCATACGATATCTGGAGGATTTGCCAACTAAACCCGATTACAGATTAGAGATCTTGAATATTGCTGTCAGCAGAGTCGATGCACTTACTCAGGCTGCTCTGGAATCGCATATTGGCCAGCAGATAATCGTCCTGTTCGACGGGCTCGTCCAAGCATTCCAGCTTGTGTGCAAAGTTCGAGAGGAGCACGTGCAAAGCATAGAAATTGACGTGACCCGATTCCGGTGAGCCGATGGCCACGTCTATCAGATCCTTGTATGTGAAACTCATCATTTTCGCAATATTTTCAATGTTGCTTTGTGTGATTGTGTGTGACTTGTTTATTGGAATTTAGTAGCAGCTCGAATGTCTACCAAATTTATTAATTTTCTCGATTTATAATAATACTTTTATCAAAGCTACTGTTTTTGTACCAAAATCTAGAATAAAATGTGATTTGAGCAATTGCTTAGGCTTAAAATGAAATTGAAGCAGTTTTCCAGGCATGTTACTTTAAGTTTTAATTAGCTTCACATAAAAATATGTTATTTAAGAGAATTGGTTTAATTAATTAAAAACTGTTTAACTTGCATTTTGTTAATAATGTTTGTCTATAATAGACTTAAAAAATATTGTCAATTTTTCTGCATTTGGAGCTGCAGCGATTTTTTAATTACTCAAATAACAACTGATTGAAGTCTTATATCTTATAAGAACTACCAGTAAATTTGCACTAATTTAACGACTAACAGCTGATAAGTCTTTTTATATTAATACACAAGTACTTATTTCTTATTATTAGTTTGGTTTTTTGCTTTGCTAACAGACACACACACACACACACACAGGCACAGAGTCAAATAGTATTACACTTGAGACTTTCGTTAAGTTCGTATCGTTAAGTTAGTTGCGTGCGCGCACATTTGCTACGTTTATACATAACAGAAAATGCGTAAGTAAAAGCTTTCGCCAAAGCTGTTACTACGACCAAGTACACGCTTACGTTAACAAACTTTTATCATTTCGGCACAAACGCTTGTTGCTTCAACGTGTGTGCTGGATGCGGCAGCGGCAAGTTTTAACTTCAAAAACTTGTTGCATTTCAATTGGCGCGCGCGAGAAATTGAAAAAACAAATTTAAATAAATATAAGATATCTATAAATAGAGTGAATAAAGATATAAAATGTGAAAATGTGCGAGTGAATTCAATACATCAATGATAAATGTAATTTGCATATAAAGTTTGTGTGTGGCATAATTTTTACCGTTTTGCATAATCGGTTTTTTCATTTGCCATTAAACGATATGCAAATTTGGTGAGTTTCAGAAAAATCACAGCAAAACGAAAATATAAAAGCCATTGCAATTGTAAATATATTGCCAAAGGCAAAGTGATAAAAGAAAAAAGAAAAAAATTGTAATTCTGGTGTGTAAAATAAATAGTTAAAATATATAAATACATATGTTTGTATTTAGAGAAATGTTTTATTCAGCATAAAGGCCAAGTGTTTAATATGTATTATTGTATGCAGAATAGTTAAATGGAAAAGTGTTGTAAAACGACATCGAAAGCAAATACGTCGAGTGTTAGCTCAGCGCCAACAAAGTCTATCTGACCAGTAATAATAGCTCTGCAAAAGCAGAGTCGGTAACCAAACTCTTAAAAGTGCAAATTTACTCAAGATCAAAGTGGATTTATCTTTAAAATTGATGTGGTAAGTGCTCAAGCGATATATAATTTTTTGAATAATTAAACAATTGCAATAAACTAAGAACAATCAATAATCATTCAATCATTTTTCTATGCAAATGTCTGCAACTGGTTAGCTAACTTATTTTTGGGAGGATTTTTTTTGGCTTTGAAATGGTAAAATTGAATCATATCTAGAAGGCAGCACTCGGTTGGCCTTGATTAGATAGCAAATGCGAAGAACAAAAATAATAAACACCAGCGAAGAAATAACATTAATGTTCGGCATAATATAGATTCAATGCCCCTACTTTTTCCACATCAAATTGGAGTGAAAAACTTAAGAAAAATCGGCTACTCTTCTAAAACCAAATATTTAATTAGTTTCTTTTTAATTAAAACAATAATATCTTAATAATAGGAATTGAATTTGCCACAACTCAAAAATGAACACATAAACAAATATTTCTTAAATATTATAGATAGCGATATCTGTGTGATATATAGTAAAAATGTGTATATTGCTGTTATAAGGTCTTTAAGTGCACTCCTTCACTTTATTGTTGGTTTCGTCTATTATCGATCTTTGATTTCAATTGTGTCGACTGCGCAATATATTTCGAGTTGACTCCCAAATAAAGTCAATCGACAATAAGGGGTGAGGGTTGAGGGTGATCGTATCTTTGTTCAGGTACAACTAATTGTTATGTTGACATGGACTTTGGCCCTGTTTCTGTGGAGGGGCACTTTAACGCAAGAATGCGCCCCTTCCAGTGGCCGCCACTGCCACTCTCAATGCACCATAGCACCCCCTTTATCAAGGAACAGTGGCGTCTTCTTATGAGCTTTTATTATTGTCGTTATGTCATTTATTTTCGACTACTGCCATTGCGGGCTTTCTACTTATTTTTTGTATTATATACCCTTCTACCGGACTGTTCAATTTTGTCATAAAATGTGTAACGCATTGAAGGAGAGTTCTCCAACCTTCCTGCTTGTGTTCGGACTAAAATAAAGCTACTATAAACCCAAACGATATACGAACTAAAATATAGATGTCCGGCCTATAGGGTATGTTTTTTTTAGATGGGGGCATGTGTGTCATTATTATATTTTATATATATATTTCTTTAGTACGATTTGTAGACAAATTAAGCAGCGGCCACTTTCAGTGATAAGAAAAGCGACGCCATGCGTATGAGTGTGTGGATGGCTGTGTTTCTTTGTGTCAGTTCGATTAATTATCGAATTGGTAGCTACCTTTAATACAGCAAATGGTTTATGGTAGGGCAAACTCTCTTTCTCTCTTTCTCTTTCTCTCTATCTATCTCTCTCTCGCTATCTCTCTAAAGCTTAAAATCATATTATTTATTATAAAGCGCTCCGCCAATCGCAATCACAAATTTAAAGAAAAACAAATATATATATATATATATATATATTAATTTATATATAACATATGTGTGAATGGGCAAAATAAACAAGTAGAATTGATAAATAATGCTGAAAACTCATTTTGGTTAATACTCGCCCATTAAATTCAATTTTCACATTTGTATTTACGTGAACATTACAATATTTTTGTGGACCCCCGCTGTCTAAACCATGATTTTTCTTAATTTTCTTTCCGTTAAAGCCCAAATGTAGACTACATGGATACATAATATGTGTATCTCTGTGTATATTTCAACGAACATAAACAAGCCAGTGTATAAAATTGGAACAGTAATCAAATAAAATCGAACAGAACAAAACAAAACTATTCCTCACAAATACTTGTATATTTTCTTATGAATGAACACATATATTTTGTGCTTATCCGGTTGTGTTCTCCGGGAGGGAAACATAAAATAACAATGCTATTTATGGATTCATTTAAATTGATAAATTCAATTTAATTTAGCAAAGAGAATATTCCACATTACATTTTTGGAAATTCATCGTGCCATGGAGTAAATATATATACATATACATATACATATATATGTAAGTGCAATTTTGTATTGAATTTCAATACGAATAGAAAGCTATCCATGTGCATTTGGGAAGTATCAGAAAATGTAACATTTTAGTTTCCTTTCATTTATAAATGACTAAATGTGGTTTGCAGTAAAATTCAAACCAAATTTAGCAAAAATATAAATCAATAAATAATAATTTTGATTTGCAGTTTTATGTGTGCATTTTTATATACATAATATATATACATATATGTGTTTATATGTATATTTATACAATACGTATCGTTTTCGAATTCTTTAATCTCGAGTGGTTCTCTGCATTCCCGCTAACAAATACAAATAAGCATTATATTTGAAGATGTTTGATTAGATTAAATAAAATTATAATAAATAATTGTTCTGCAAAAGAGTATATTCCAATTGTGCACTGATTATTTTAATCTAAAAGCTAAACAAAAAATTTTTAAAAGTAATGATGACATTAATATATATATATATATATATATATATATATATATATATATGGATTTTCCCATGAAAAAAAAAAACACAAAGAGACACAAACATTTATTTGATGATCGATAAAAATCATGTGTTGGCTTTTGTGACTATTTATAATATTTGGTGACTCTCTTGGCAATTAGTGTACCGAATCAATCGCTTATAATGTTTTTGTTATTTTAGTTGGTTTTTGTACCGATGTATCGATGTATGTATGTATTTTACTATCTAGTGTGTATAGAATTACACTTTTATGATTTATATACAAAAAATGCTGATATGCCATCAATTTGATTTTAGTTTCTGTTTGCATTGTTTTAAAGGCAGCAGTGAATCGCAAGGCCTTAGATAAAATACACACACACACACACACACACACACACGCAGACACAACACACACACACACACACACACACACACACACACACACACACACACACAGCTGTGCCAATCACATAGATAAAATAGCTCACACAAGCAAGCCGGCAACTAAAACATTTCAATCGAGTTAAATACAAGATATGCGCATTTGCTGAGCATTTGACCAGAAGCAATGAAAATGCAAAGAAAATATAAACATCAAGAGTTTGAGTTTCGAACATGAATTCTCCGAATTCCCAGTAGACCACTGAACCATTTTTTTGGTTTTGAGCAATGCGATTGCAGAAGTAATTCCACGAATTGAAGGTTCAACAGTGCCATAGTCCAGCATTGTCCACAGAATGCCAAATGATTGGGTTATTAATACAGTTGGTTGGGCACAGTCCTTATCGCCCAAAGAAGAATGCGTGTCTGTGTGCTCGACAGGTTAATTCACTGTCGCGTGACAGCACCACAATCCACACAGCTGGAGCAACCCACACTGTTGGCCGACTATGTGCGTAGTCGACAAAAAAAAAAGACCAATTGGAACCGTAACACGCCACACACATTTATGCACAATTTGTAGCGGCCACATTTTGGTATTGTGTTTTTTATGTTGTTTATTTCTCGTTTACCCAAGAACAAACCAATGCAAAAAAAAAAAAAAAGAAAGAAAGAAACAAGCACATATTTGTTCAACTTGGCACAAAATAGAATACAAATTGAACTTATCAAAGCATCGAATGCGTTCACGATAACGATTAGACGCGTGAAAAACTACAACAACTGAAAACGTGGAAAAAAAGGGTTTGAAACTTATCACTGAACAGAATTCAATACATATCACAAAATTGACGACATTGAACTGGTAATGGCGATAACAGTTTAAAGTCGATTCATTTTTGCTTTGTTCTTTAGTTGTATTGTTGTTTTCAATGGCGATATTCATATCAACATATTAAGGCCATTCTATTTCAATTTAATACAATGCAATACAATATGAATAGAAATTCCAGCTTTAAAGTTTAAATGAAAGATGATATGATTTAAAAAATATAAAAATATATGAAATATTCTCTTTAATTTAAGGCAAACTTAACTTGACAATTTTCTTGGTTGTGCAAACTTTAATTAAAAGTCAAGTTGTGTAAATATTATCTAAGAATAATAATTACTAAAAATACAACAGCTTAACACTAAAATGTATATTTATTCGACATACACAAGAACCACAATACGAATTGAACTTACACACAAAGCCAATCGCATTTTTGGCTACAAATGGTTTTTCAATGCTTTTAATCGCCTTCTTGTTGTTTACTGGTTGTGTACTTAATATATTTGCTAAAGTTCTTTGAACTTATTGTAGAAAACTCGTGCTTAATGTTGCCAGGACCTTGAACTGCAGTTGTCTAAACATATATGTATGTATATATGAGGCAAGGCAAATAATAAAATGTGTCATCAAAGTGTGTTTGGTGAGTTCCATTTTTGTGTGGGTTGCTTTGGTTGCAGGCTTACGTAATTGGAAAGTTTACACTTTCGACAGGATATCCATTACTCACACTAATCGAAGATTCGTAACTTCACCTTTGTGGCTATCGAATTGCCAAAACATAACTTTTGTTAAGCCCTGTCAACCATTCAACGTGCAAGTTAAATATTGATACCAACGATTAAAATATTGTTTGATATTCACGGAAACGATTATTTCTTATTGAAAAGTCTTCGGGTGCAGTCAGAAATGACAAATCTTCAAAGCTGACTGGGTGTGACAGAGAAAATTGCAAAAATAATGTTAAATAGTCTACACACCTTAACACATTAAGTCTTGGAAAAGTGATTTATTGTGTGATTTTTCTTCTTTCTTTTTTTTATTTTGCTAATTTATTCCACTGTAATTCATGCAAAAACTGCAGAATCACATATCATTCATAAATTTAGATAGGTCAAGAAACTTGTTGATTTCGTCTTCATGATGAAAGATTTGGGATTATTTCCGGTGAATGTTCTGAGAGCTTGAGATAGTAACCAGGCTACGGAGAGCGAATGATTCAATCATCTATAAAGATAATGAAACGAAAAAGCTCCATGTGTCGAGACATAAAATTGTTCTGACTGAATGTGTTATTTAGACAACGATTTAGATTAGTATTGAGATATAAAAAGTTGCGCTGTGGGTATAAATGGGGCAACGATGCTTATTTCACAAGTTATTTGAAAAAAGTTTGCCCCTAGGCAGAAAGTTGGTGCAAAACAAGAAAAAACATAGCATGCAAAGGATAAATCTGTGCAATATAAGAGAAAACTTTTCAAGAACATCAAGGAAACTGTTTAAGGACTGTTTGATGTTCAGAACTAAGACTGTGATATTGAAATCAAAGAACAACTAGTATTATATATAACTACTAATTCGAATAAAAGATATAAACATGTTACTTAACATATTCAAATCGGGCATATTTCAAAAGGATTTTCGTCGCCAGTTGCTGGTCACATTGAGTGGTATGCTACATTTTGTGGATTTTAAAATGATTTAATTGTGGAATAATATCGTAATCTCTCGACCGAGTCACCTTCAAATCATAAGTAAGAAGTCTCTTCACTCATTTGTTGTTGGGCTTTTCCATTAAATGATTGCTTTGATATCTCAAAAGCCAACTTAAGAATAAAATATAGTCAGCTATGATGAATTCATTAGATCACTTAGCACTTAATTTGTGTAATAATGGGGAAGATTTTAATGGAAAAAAACAAAATTGAATATCCGTAGTAATACTGATTACATTCTGTCATGGCATCGCAATCGGCTGGCTCGCCCCCATGCTACAAAAGCTGCAGTCGGAGTCGGAAACGCCACTGGACTTTGTGATTGATGTTAATGAGGCCTCTTGGCTGGGCTCCCTTGTTAGTTTGGGCGGCTTGTCGGGCAACTTTTTCTTCGCCTTCATCATGAATCGCTTCGGCCGCAAAGTGGCCATCTACGGAATGGCGGTGCCCAATATGGTTAGCAAGAAATAACAGTTATTTTCGGCAAGCCGGAGTATTAATATATACCCTTGCAGACCGGGGTTCTGCGGCTCTCAGGAAATCAAAATATTTTCAACGTTTTTTTTTGCAACAAATGTTTAAGCATATCTTAGAAGTCCGATCTGATCCCTTTGTTGACTCAGTCTCTTAATCTGTACATTTTTATTGACTCATTTGTTACTTGCTGCCTGCAATCGTAATCTCTGCAAGGGTGTATGAAAAGTGAATTGGAAGCGACACAAAAATTACCTAAACCATAATTTCCGCAGTGCATTTGGATTCTGTTCTATTTTGCGGAATCCATTGAATGGCTTTATGTGGCCAGAGTTTGTACCGGGCTGACGGGCGGCGGTATTTTCATTGTGCTACCAATGTTCATTGGCGAAATCGCCGACAACAGGTAAGTGAATAATCACAATTGAGTTGATAACGAAACGGACTGAAGGCAACTCAATCGATGCATGAATTTCCAGCATCCGCGGCAGATTGTGCTCCTTATGCAGTCTGGCGATGAATTTGGGCATACTCAGTGGCTTCATCATCTCGTCATATGTGCCCTATCACATCATACCACGCGTAGTGATTCTGCTGCCACTGTGCTATTTGCTGTTGGCAACACGCTACCCTGAGGTTCCTCAGCAGTTGATGCGCAGGGGGCGCATCGAGGACGCGGAACGTTCATTGAAATATTATTGGAATTGTGATGGTCCAGCACCCAGCAAGGAGGCGGAGAGAGCCTGCCAGAAGCAGTTCAATGAAATGCGCGAGTCCCTGCTGCAACAGGGCAAGGAATCCAGTAACGATGGCCTCACAGTCGCCGACTTCTGTAAGCTGCCATAATACAGTTGATGTCCAATGGTTCTAATCATGGTATCCCTGATTTTCTCTCTGTTGCAGGCAATAAGCGTGCCTTAAAGGCGATAATGACGGGAATTGTTCTTATGATTGCCAATATGTTCACGGGCACATTCGCATTCATTAACTATATGTCGACCATTTTTGAACGCGTTCATACACAGCTGGAGCCCAATACAAATACGATTATCATTGGCGCCGTTCAGGTTGTGGGCACTTTGGCATCCATTTATCTAGTGGACCGCTATGGACGCAAAATTCTGTTGGTTATCTCCTGTGTGGGCAGCGTTGTGGGCACTGCTGCATTTGGTATATATGCATTCTATGCCGAGGAAACGGATGCGGATTTGAGCGCTTTTTCCGCATGGCTTCCAGTTACGATTATGGCTTTCATCATATTTGTGGCCACTGTGGGCGTTATTTCGGTTACATTCGTTGTGTTGGTGGAGATTATACCTCCCAAAATTCGTTCAGTTGCCAGCAGCGCCTGTCTTGGCTGCCTCAGCGTCTTTGGCTTCATCTCAGTGAAGAGCTTACCCATTATGATGGAGTACCTGGGATTGGCAGCCACCATGTGGGGCTGTGCAGCAGTTAGCGCCATCTGCGCTTTCTACGTGGTTGTCTTCGTGCAGGAAACAAAGGGTAAATCCATGTATAATTAGGTCTAAAATGTGCAAAAGTGACAATAATAATAAAGAAAAATGGTTTTCAGTAAAAGAAAAATGCGAGAAATTCTTTCAATTATTATTATTTAATAACGAAACTCGATGAAATATGTTGGAAATCTATGTTATAATTGTTTTAGTTACAATCTTTAACTTAAAATACCTGTTAAATTTATGGTGCAATAAAAATAATAAAAATTAATAGAAGCTGCTCCAACAAGGGAAGGTAATAAAAACATATTCCGAGACGTGATTAATATAACCAACTGAGTATATTTATAATTTTGATTTTTTTTGTTGTGCGATATTTGCGCAGCTGTTGCAGGCAGACAATAAAATACCATTCTTAACAGTACACAAAATAATTTTCATTTATGGCTATAACTCCGGTGGGATGGGTAGTGAAAAATGCGAGGCACGCGGTTCGACGATGGGCGTTAAACCAAAACAAACGAACGGCAAGTGAGCCATAAAAGCGTTGTGACATGGCTTAATTTATGACCGGGCTACCGCAAACGTCACCGCACCCAGCACCACCCACCAGCAACCCCCACCCAACTCTGTCTCAGTAGCAGTTGATGTTAATGTTGTGTCAATAATTAACTTTGTTAGCTGTATTATATATAAATGCACACATTAATCCCGAAGCCATAACGTTTAGCAAGTGTCGAGTGGGAACACGACGAAGTGTGTAAATACACACACACACACAAAGGCACACTCACATACAGGCACACATACATTCACATTTGAGAAGCAGGTAATAGGTGAATGATGTAAAACAAACTAAATTTCCAAGCAAAAGCAAGCAATAAAATACCCTGAAAAAATGCGATATGAAATTGCGAGCTTTTTATTGACATTTTTGTGGCATGATTGAAATTGCATAATGCAAATTCAATAGGCACATATATATATATTTATTTTTTTTATTTTTATCGCAATGACTTGAGGAATTATGACCATCAAAGCCAAAAACATATATTATTCTGTTGAGCTTTGGCACTATTGCTGAATCATTGTGATTACAGTTGCCGATAAGCACTACTACGTTTTACTATTAAATGAACAGTTAAAATGAACAGTTAACTGGCTTCTGGTCTGTACAGAATTCTTAACAGATGTTACTGAAGCTTTTCTGTCAATTTAAGTGCCCCCCCAAAGGATATCAATTGTGATTGTTTTCAATACATTTGTTATTATAAATGTGTGCAATTTATGCACATATGTGGAATATTTGAAGTATATCTATCTTAAATTGCGATAGATAGGATTAAAATATATACTCTGGATAAGAATTCTTATGCGCACATCTCCTATCAAATTCCACCACAATTTACATTTTGTTGTGGCATGTAATACGCAAACATTTCCAAATTTGTCATACATACAAATTAGTTAAAGTGCCCTTTTTCGCATTCTCTTTGAGCTGTGCCAAGCTTTGACTTACACATGTCATTTGAAATTCGATTGAGGGCAATGGACAGCGAGGGCAATGCCTGCGCGACATGTACTTGTATAAATTAGTCTCTGCTGTGACTCTATTAAAACATTGCAAAATAAGATGTATATCATTTGAGATAACTTTAGATATTCCTCATATAGTGTGAAGCTACGTCATCAGTCAGTTAAATAATCATACTCAATGTGGTCCCAAGACAACTCTCAATTGAATAACTTGAGTAAAGTGTCCAACTTCAATTCGCGTGTTGTCTGTTAGATAACAGACATACCAAACACGTCAATATGCAATATCAGCTGTTAAGTGCATTTGTATTGTTGCTGTTGTTGTTGTTTTTGCTTTGTTTATTGTCCCGTGTTGAAGTTTGTTTTCCAACAATTATGCCTAAGTGCTGACGGACCTTAATTGCTTTGCCTAAATGTTTTGAATTTCCAACGCACTGTTAAACAAATGGCAAAACATTTAGATGTAGTGGAATTGCCAATAGACATGAAAAACAGTACGTTTTGGGTCGTCTTTTGGATAGTCTGTAGATGCTTTAAGATAAATTAAAAAAAAATCCATAAATATACAATTGGAAATTTTAAAAATATTTGCCAACAAATTTTGTTATTTATTGTTATCTATTTAATGTACCTTATATATATTTATACGAATTTGCTCATGCTGATGATACCCCAATTTGACAATTTGCTGGCCATAGGGTATTCTTTTGTATTCTTTTCACATTAACAGCAGGAGCTCTGTTTGGAAAAGGACAGCTGGGTCTACGGGGCGAATGTATAATTCGCCTTTAGCGAGTACTTGTGCTGTTTGCGATTTTAATGAAGCGAAGCTAATTAATTTATTCTGTTTATTCAGTTTTTTGTTGGGCTTGGCATATATCGGTTTCATTATTTTTCGCTTGTATTAAATTGCGCGTACGTAAAATGTCGAGGCTTTTCGGTTTACACGATTTTTTCAGTATGAAAGACATTTAATTTGGAGGGATTAAACAACTTTAATAACATATTTCATTAACTTCATCACTGATTTCAGTGAAGTTTTAGTTGTAAGCGGTTATTTCTGTGACAATTACATGTGTCATTTTATTTACACGTTAATGAGGTAAAAATGTACTTTGTGCGTTGCTTATTGAGCTTATTATAAGCTGCTCGGACAGCGCATTTAAAGTGACACCAGGAAAATATATATATTTGCATGTGTTTTGTTCACTGTGATGGATTGTGAAGCAATTTTATAATTGAAAGTTTAATTCATTTATTATTTGATTTTCTGAGAGTGTTTCTAAAATATTTAAGCTTTCATTACATTTTCTATGCGCAATTCGAACTATCTGATCGAATTGACTCTCCTTGATTACAGTCAAAACGGCTCTTGCAGCTTTAACTATGTGCTGTGGAATTTTCAAGGATGCTGCGGCTAAAATTAATGAATTTTCTGATCCCATATGCCATGCTTTTATCGCTATCGGGCAATACGGCTGGAATTTTGACAAAGAGGAATGCGATTGGCGCCATGACAACGTCTACAATTTTAACTACAATGTACAACAGCATCGAGGACAACAACAACAGCTCTTATAATAATATCAACAACAGTAAAACTATGCCGAGTGACAACGAAACAGAACTAAGTTCCACAGGCATAGAAGACGAGAAAATAGCCAAATTAAATGTAAGTGTGATTATAACGAATATGTAGTTAACAAACAAGGCCTCCTTTAAACACAAGCAGAGGGCTTGCCATTTCTCAAAGGATCAGCTAATCACATACGTTTCTATAAGATTCTTAAAAAAGAAGAGAACATTTACTGTGTGTCTCTTTCAAAAGTTTGTTTGTTTATTTTTACTCTCCACTTACACAGACAACTCAGGCTAAAGGGGAAATCACAGAGCTGAGCACGAACGTGACATTATTTATGCAGAAAATACCGCGTCTTCAGGTGCACTGGAAGGACAACCTGCCGAATGGTAAGCTATCTGCAAGCTGACCAAATCTGATTTCTAAACTGCGATTGATATTAATATATTTTTTTGTCAACACACACACACAAAGGTACCACATACAATGTATTGGTTAGTGCTGTTAACAGCACCCGCTGTCCGGATGCCCCCTGCAGTGAGTACACCATCAAACAGAAGCCCAGCAAGTATATTTACCTGCCACAGAGCCCCAATCCAAGTGTGGAGTCTGTCGACTGCAATTACATGTTTGGCTGCATGTATAACGTTACTGTGGAAACTTCTAATCTGCTCGTCCGTCGCTCCATGCGCGTTCTCATACCATGTAGGTGGTGCAACATATTTTGTTGTGGCATCTATTTTACTAGCGTTTTTTACTCATATGCAGATTGTGTTGCCGGCAAGTGCTCCTGCCAGTTGTCGCCGACGCCACCAAAGGTCCTGGCCAGGGCAACAATGCAGACAAATGACACCATCAGCATCAATTTCACCATTTTGGCCAACGAGCAGCTACGCAAGGAACAGGAGAATCATCTGCATGAAGCCCTCAAGGCATACAAAATGCAATTAAGGTACGCTTTCACTTAAAATTCGTTATCAGAAGGTTTAAACTAATGGCATAAAGTAAAAAGGCCAACAGCAGCAACACATAATTGACTTCTTTTGGTTCCTTCCGTTGCTTCTCTTGTACTGCAGCAACAATAAGTCAATTTCATTCTCTTTACACTGAAAATTAAACCTGAAAAATGATTTGTTCGTTTAAATTATTGGTATTCATGATGTGAAAATGTATTTAAATTTAATTGGGGCCCATCTTGGTTGTATTTTGGTTCGATTAATTGCATTTCTTATTATTATTAGTATTGCTTGTTGTTTACAGAATCAATGAGGAGAGCAATCCATCGCTCCCATGGGGAGGTGTTCTAAAGAATCTGCACAATCGGATTTACAATCTCAATGAATTGCACTTTCGACCCATAGCCAAGGGCTATGATGGCCACATGCAGCTCACCCTGGGCACACAACTCAAGGAGAAGGCCTCCCTCAATTTGCAGGCCGTGATTATAGATCCCTCCGGCTGTGAGGGACAACGCAGTGTTATCAAGGTGCCAGGTAAGACAGTAATAGCCAGTAAATGTTTTGTATACCTATTTATATATAAATGACGAGTTTAACCAGTTGTTATCTCTAACAGTACCCGCCAAAAAGGTGCAACTTAACAACGATGCCAATTTGGTGCGTATTTATAGCGAGTAGATTAATACGGCTTAATTCTCATTTAAATAGAATATGTATTTTGGCTTGTTTTCATTTTCTTTAGAGCAATTCGCTCATTATTATGATCACATTAATCATAGCCATCACAATTGTGGGCTTTATAACTCTGCTGTTGCGTCGACGTCGGGCCAAGACCAAGGAGCAACTAAAGAAGAATCAAATATACTTGGAATCCTTTGCCGTCGCCCCTGTTGAGTGAGTGGTTGCTTACTAATGATGTTGCTGCAGCGAATGAGATAAATGAAACGTTCTTTATTATTTTTATTCCCCAGAATGGAGGATAATATTAACTACGTGGACAAGTACGTGGAGGTAAACTAAAACCAGAAATCTTGCAAAACGTATTTATTTGCTTTGTATTTGCCTTGGAGTATTGCTTACATTATAACTACTGATTTGATTCGATTTTAATTCAATTAGAGTTGAGCAAGAACAAAAAAGAACAAAACAAATGGGAGTGAACAGAAGCCAACTGTCACCTGTTAAATATTCTATTTATATGCTTATCTTTCAAGTAGTTCCCCCAGTAGTTTGATAACTAAAGCTTAACAGTATTATTGCTTATCTAATTCTTTAAAACACTTTTACATAGCAATCGCAAGCTTTGGGTTTGGCGGACATCTTCGAGGTGCCTCATTCTGCGATACACATGGGACAAATGCTGGGCGAGGGCGCCTTTGGTCAGGTGCACGAGGCAACGGCCATCAATTTGCGACGAATGCGAGGCACAACGCTTGTGGCCGTCAAACAACTAAAAGGTAATTTTGAATATTAAAAATAATAATTGATAATGACTAGTATTACTTACTATGTATCCATGCGCAGCCAATCCTTCGGCGGATGAAGTGGATGAGTTCCTCTCGGAAATTGAAATGCTGAAGGGAGTGGGTACGCATAACAATGTGGTTTGTTTTCTGGGCTGCTGCACGATTCGAGCGCCCTACCTGATGATCATGGAGTATGTCGGACGTGGCAATCTGGTAGGTAGCATAACCAATTAAATGTTAGTCCCTCTTAATCTCATATCTGTTTGGGGCTGCTAGCTGAATTACTTGCGAACGGCGCGTCAGCAATTGGGACAATCAAAGACACGGGATGCCAACCACACGACTCGTAGAATAATTAAGACCAATTCGAGCGTTGCTTCCTCCTTGTCAGCGTCAAAGCCGCAGAGTGTTAATTACATTGAGTTGAAGGCATCCAGTCCGAGCACCGAGCTGGAACAATCATCTGTGTCCATTTCATCGTCTTCGAACTCAAATGATTTATGTGCCAGACAGGCAAAACCATCGTTTGCAGAAAGTGAGTGGCAATCAAATGAGTTTCGAGGCTTCTGCTATTCACAGTCCATTTGTTATCTTTAGCAACCTATACGATTGTCGAGGAGGAGGAGGAGCCATTTGAGTACATTCTTGACCACAAGGAACTCCACAATTTTGCGTTGCAAATTGCAAATGGAATGCGCTTCTTAGAAGAACAAGAGATTACGCATCGGTAAGATTAAGATTACTCATCGGTTTCCGTTTAACAACTTTGGCTTACTCGTTCATTATACAGTTGAATTTTAAATTTACCCTTAACACTATTGATTCCACTTCACAGCGACTTGGCAGCGCGAAATGTGCTTATTGATGGCAATAAGACATTGAAAATATCCGATTTCGGTCTGTCCAGGCGTGGCTTGATCTACACCAACACCAAAACACGCAAAGTGAGTTCAATAAAAGCAAATTAAACGTTTTTCATGACTTACAACTAACTAATAATTACATTCGCGTGCAGTTACCATTGCGCTGGCTATCCATTGAGGCCATTAGGGATAATGTGTACTCGAGCAAGAGCGACATTTGGGCGTATGGTGTGGTTCTCTGGGAGATTGGCACGCTCGGCGCCTCGCCGTATCCCACCATCAGCAACAGTGAGCTGATACCATTTCTAATGGCTGGTAATCGTTTGGAGCGACCCGAGATTTGCACGCCACAAGTGTACACCATAATGCTGCAGTGTTGGCTTGAGGAAGCCAAAGAGCGGCCCACATTTGATGCCCTCTGCAAGGTATTAAGCCCGAAGACCACATATGTGGACATAAACAGTCTGAGTGATGATTACGTTTTTCCACCGATTAAGGAGTAAACATCAACTTCAAGTTAGTTAGCATAATTGTTATTTAAGATATCTAGATGTATGCTAAAACCTTATCCAAACCTCTTGATATGCTTTTATAAAGTATTCTCGAGGCATCTTAAATTTGCTGGATCAAATGCACCTTATCTATCACAAATATGAAAGTATACACAAGGATGACAATTTTGTTCTAAATATTCTTTAGACAATGTTCTTAATTAACAATATATATTTAAGGCAAAACGTTGAATATGAACAAATGTGTGTTAGAGGTCGTATATAGAGTATATGACATTCTCGAGATAAATGCGTGTGATAAGTTTAAGTAGTAATTAAAATATAACTAAAAGTACAAGCAATCGCACAGAGTATAACCCTGTCGAAAGAATCGCTAAATGCATTTCAATAAAAAATTATTTAAAAAACTGTATGTGGTTTGATATACATAGAATATATTTATTTTTTAATTCCATAAATTTCATTCCAAGCCACATAACGTTTAACATCCTCCGGGGAGACGCTCCTCGAAACGTGTTGCAGAGCAGACAAGAAATCTGACATACAGACGGCAGGCAACTGTTATAAATATAAGTTATAAGTGCCGGACGGTTGATGTTATTTACAGCCTCGAATTACCTGTTGTGCATCAATTGCGTCAATCTCCGAGCTGCTAAGCACACGTAGCGGCTGCATGGCCGCATAACGACACAGGCTGTCCATATCGGCTCCAGAATATCCTTCGGTTAGCTCACCTAGTCCTTGAATCTGTGCGTCATCGAGATTGTGATGCACCTGTTTGAGAAGCTTCTGGATAATATGCTCACGTGCCTGCGCCACTGGAAGCGGAACGTAAATACGACGCACGAAGCGACGACGTACGGCTTCATCGAGCTCTTGCGGACGATTAGTGGCACCTATAATAATAACGTGATCATCTTCATTGGTTGCAGCACCATCCAATTGTATAAAAAACTCATTTTTCAATCTTCTCGAACTTTCGTGCTCAGTGTCCGAGCGTTGTGATAGCAACGAATCCACCTCATCCATAAAAATTATCTACACAGAAAGCAGAACATTCGTTTTACATATTACGTTAGGAATGAGGCACTCACCGCCGGTTGATGTGCGGCAGCCACGGCAAATAGTGTCTTGACCAACTTCTCGCCCTCGCCAATCCACTTGGACGTTAATGAAGATGGATTAATGCTAAAGAACGTTGCCTTCGACTGGGAGGCAATGCACTTGGCAATTAGAGTTTTGCCTGTACCAGGAGGACCGAATAATAGAACGCCACGGGGTGGACGACGCACTCCCTTGAATAAATCTGGACGCTGTAACGGATGTATAATGGTCTCCATAAACGTTGATTTTGCATACTCCAAGCCGGCTATTTCATCCCAAGCTGTTTAATGAGCAACAAACATTCCATTTAAATTTAATTCACTCTTTCAGATACTGCACTCACCGATGGGCTTATACTTATGCATACTCTCTCGCATAATCTGTTCAACCATTAATGAATCCAGATGGGCCAAGGAAGGAGGCACAGAGAAAGTTGGTTTTGTTGCAGTACTTTGCTTTACATGTTCAGCAGCAGTATTCCTTAATAACAGAGCAAAAATCAACTTGTACGTTAGAGAATAATGGATATACTCACGTATCATTTTGTCCAATGGGTGGCACAAATTTGGCATTCACACCGCGTCCCCTTCCGCCCAGTGACTTTTTTCTATAGTTCATTATATCACAGGGGCCACCAATTGAAGCACTACTTCCACCTGCACCAGCTCCAGCTGCAACAATTTCTTTGCCTTTCTGGTAGAATAGAGAATTTTTACATTTATACATACATATTTATTGCATTATTATTCTATATATCATTTTATGTCTATACTATACTTTTAATATGCACAGGTAGCAAGGGTAAGTTTTTCTAGCAATTCACCAGAATTTAAACAATCTACTACCTTTAAATCATGCAACATTAACTGCTCCCGCGCAGTGCGAAATCCATCAAACACTGCAGTTTCAGGTGCCGATGTCCCTGTCTTTGTTGTGTTACTGGGGGTCACAGTGTTTACATTGCTTGTGGGCCGCCTAAGCTCACATGTTGTCATTTCATCATGCTTGCAACTAGAAAATATTCCATGACACTGACGCTCAAACACACTCTCCAGCGGAACAGACCAGTCCAGAGGTATTCCAGGGTCGCAGTGACGTCGATGAGGGCGACGACTCTGCGTAAGCAATTGCTGACAGCCGGCTAGACGCTCTTGCATGTATATTTCCGTGCTGCTGGAAGTGTCACATTTGGCATGATGGTCCCTAAGCGCGTCATATTGAATGGCATCATTCACATTGCTTTAAAGATTCAAGAATGAGCGTCTGTTGGATGTTTTTTTTTTTTATTTGGTTACCGTGTTGCTTGGGCCAATAAATACTTTTGTGTTCGCCATGAATTTTGTTTGTCACTGGCGCTGGCATCGTTGGCTAACCAAATGGCGTCATTAGCTGCATAAGCCGCGTGCCATAACTCGTCTGTCATGTTCATTATAGTTTACGAACTATAAATTCAACTTGCAACAATTAAATATTTCCCGGCATTCAGACTGATCTAATGCTAGAAATGGCGGTTGGTCGATAGTAAATCGATAAGTTATGCTAGTCAGTCAACAACAGCTGAGCGGCTTAGCAAACAGCTTTTGTCATGTTGCTAACTTTGATAGCAGATATATCGATAGCAAGCGATCACTGCATAACAATATTCAAATTTAAAATGAAATTTGGCCTAAAGTTGAAGTTTACGTGAGGTCTTGTTATTTCGAGAAATAATTTGCAAAAACTTCTGCTTACGTATGCTCTATTTTGTGTAGCTAATTAAGCAAAGCATGTGTATGTTTTTGCGATCAATTGATTTTAATTGAAATTAATTAATTTTAATTGTGAGGAATAAGTTGGCGAACACCCTTCAATTGAGATGCACTATTGTCTGAATACCCCTCGAGGCAAGACATATATACATTCAGAGCCATCAACCTAGGTAGGTTATCTGCTGTTGTAGGTTAACTCAGATTTCTTCATCATCAGAAGGCAAAAAAATATAGTCAGACAGACGCATTTTATCGCAGCCTCATTTTGTGGACACACGTTGTGCAAATATATATATATTTGTATATACAAAACAATATCTAACAAACTGGACGCAATTACTGGTTTCTAACAGACTAACAAGATCGTCGCGTCTTGGGGTCTGGGTTCACAGAATGTTCCGCACAGCGGCAAACCGCATTGCAATGCCTCTTATCTGCATAGGCGGCAGTAAGATAAGAATCTTCATATGCTATAAATATCGCATAGCATGCATTAACAACTTCCCAGTTTGGATATAGGTTCGCTCGGAACTAACGATTTGTTTTCACTAACGGTTTGCTAGTTGGATTTCACATCAACGGATAAATCTGCATCATGTGCTTGCCGAAACGGATCAGTGGCGGTGCTATTCAAAGCGTGACAACAGCCATCGGTGCGTGCTGACAGCAAGCTTCGCCAGAAATGGACACTTATTTGCATTCCTTTGCAGGCAATATGCTCTGCTTCAATTTCGGACTTCTGTTTGGCATCACGCCGGCGCACATGAATCTGTACGAGTCGGAGACAGAAACGCCCCTAAACAAGGTTACAGATCCCGCCGGCACCGCCTTCTTAACGGGCTATCTATTTCTGAGTGCAGCCGTGGGTGCCGCATTCTCCGGCTGCCTGGCATTACGAATCGGTCCCAAGTCCGTGCTGCTCTTGTCTGGACTCCTACAGATTGTAAGTCATACATATAAGTGCCCAACAAGTTTCCCAATAAGTTTCCAGTTTCTCTGTTTTTAAGTGCTCGCTTGAAAATTCAAATATTTAGATAAGTAAGATTTATGATTTTACTTACTAACAATCGAAAAATTTAAGAATCTGTGATTACAAAATCTTATTTCGGATACAGTTAAACAACTTTATAGAAAAAGAAGATTAGATAAGAAAAGATAAGATTTCCTGACATGAAGCCATTCGCCTATGAGATGGGGCCATATAACCGTATTGTGCATGATTATATAACAGCAAGGTGTACTTTTAATTAGCATATTTAGTTTCTCATTAAGCACTCTCAGCTTATGCATTCCATTCCTTTGCAGCAGCAAATCCATTTCATTTTTTTCATCAATTATCTTTTGATAAATTGTTTGCATTAATTGATGACATAACAGCGTAATTTTCTCTGGTTATTTCCATAATGAGCAATTTTTCAGCGCGTTTCGAGACAGTGCATTGAGGGCTGTATTACTGTTAATGAAATTCAAACCATTTTTATTGGAAAAATGCATTTAATTTAAAATATCTTCAAGAATGTTGCAAGCATGAAAAATATCAGTTTATGAGTTCTTCTTGATTTGTTCAATACCTGCTTTCAGTTTGCCTGGTTCTGCATACACTTTGGCGTCGATATTGTTCACATTTATGCGTCCCGCATGTTTGGGGGCGTGGCAGCTGGCGCTGCTTTGGTAGTTCTGCCCATTTTCATTAACGAAATCGCCGAGACACGGGAGAAGGCGGCACGCTTAACCTTCACAATTGAACTGTGGCGCACTGGTGGCATCCTTGCCGGCTTCGTGCTGGGCTTTTATGCGCCCTACCTACTTGTGAACATTGTGGGTTGCATAATATCCTGTGTGTTCTCAGTGTGCTTTCCCCTTGTGAGGGAGAGTCCGCATTACTATCTACGCAGGAACAATGTGCCCGCCATGGAGAAATCACTGCGCTGGTATCGGGGCATCCGTGATATTGATGACCGCGGACAGCGTGAATATCTTCAGGAGCTGGCCGAGTTCAAGTCGGAGTTGAGTGGTAAGAGTGGCCAGGGTAAGCAGTCCATTGGCTCTGCCCACTTTTCGCACAGCTATGTGGTTCGTCTGATATGTGTAAGCTTTCTGCTCACAATATGCGCCAAAATGAGCGGTGTCTTTGTGGAATTGAATTATGCCGCTGATTTTCTTGGCCGCACCGGTACCTCAACGAATCTGAACTATGTGATTCTTGCCACCTCGCAATGTGTGGGCGCCGTATTGGCACGTCTCTTCGGACCGCATCTACCCCGCAAGGTAATCTACTGTTCACAACGAGTTTTTTTTCTCTTTTTTTAATGTGCATTTGGATTACTATTTTACAGGTGTTGCTTTGCCTCTCCTCGCTCTTCGCCGCAGCGGCAGTCATTGCTCTAGCATTTTTCAAGCAGTTCGGAGCCAGCTGGGCTCTGGGTGGCTGGTTTGACCGCTACCTTCCCATTATCTTGCTCGCCGCGCAGATGCTCTCTGTTAGCTTCGGCTTATGTCCTTTGGCCGCTGTTGTCAACAGCGAAGTGTTGCCCACAAAGGTAAGTTAATTTTCTTTGCTCATACAGCATAACTAATTACTTAGACTGATTAGTAAACTTTATCCTTGTCTAAACTAAAATAATTTTGAACAATTCATTCTCGGACGGCGGAGGGAGTGATGAGATTGCTGTCTGTTGCATCTGCATAACTCCCTGCCACGCATTTCTAAATAGAACAACTAGTTTTCACTCAGCTAACGAACGTTTGAAGAAGTTAATCACAGACTACAATTTATGAATCCCTTTGATGAACTAAATCGAGACCTATTTAAGTTATTTAACTACATCAAATTGCTGACTTTTGGGTTGCTCTTAAATGCTGAGTTATTTTCGGAAGCTGAATACAACGTGCAAAACGATATTAAGTCCGTACTCTCAGTTTAAGCTATACAAATGCCATTCCTCAACTACTATAAGTATGCTACAGAATTTACAAATCGTTAAATTATAAATAGACTCCAGTAATAGTTGCATACACACACACACACACATACAAATGAGAGTTATTTACTCAGGCTTGATAACACTTTATTTGGTTGTCTATTGACAGCTGCACGACTTGCTTTATTCAATGGCATCGTGCATATCCTGGCTGCTGCTCTTTGGCATGATTGAGGTAAATGGAGTCAGATGAATCACAATCGCTGCAGTTAACTCATTTGAAGAGTATTGTAAATATTTGTAGGCTTTTAATTCGGTGAAGACAACAATCGGACCCGGCTTGGTGCTTTATCTGTGGGTATTTGCTGGCGCATCGATATTTGTGGGCCTCATTTCGCTGCCTTTGTTGCCCGAAACACGCAATCGACGTCCATCGGCTGTGCAACGGGATTTGGGCTATGTGGAGCACGAAGGCGTTGCCAAAAGCGTTAGTGTAATTAGTGGACACATCTGCACGCGTATTTGAGGCACAACCAATTAGTACCTAAGAGCATTCTGTACATTTTAAGATAAATTAAAGCACTTAAGAAAAAGAAGAAGCAGGGCGTTTAACTGAAAGTAGGTCATCATACCAAAAGCTCTTTTGCCCGGAAACGGACACTTGCACGTTTATCATTAGTGGTCAGTAGCAATGATTAAATTAATTTTCCATTTAGAAATGAACAAGCAAAGTCGTGTGATCTGCGCGTATCTAATCTTGCCTTTATTTAATCAGTAGATTAAATAATTTGTTACATAAGGCACTCAAGAGGTAATTGAGAACTGATACAGCTCGATCACATTTTAACATGCAAGTAGTTGATGTTATCATTTTATTTAAGCCAACCACTTTACTTTGTAGTCAGCTGATATCGGAAATTTTGTCCGCCTTCAAGCTTTATATATTTTTTAGATTAAAATAATATATTAAAGAGGAATATCAGTCGCACTTTCCATTTTGTCCGCTCATTGTGGAATAAGTTGTGTGTAAACTCTGAAAACAAGCTAAGCCTCAGTGTCATCCAAATTTACGTCTTTATGAAAATCAGCAAGAGCTTGTCCAAAGATATGGTGATACAAGTATTTGCACAAAATGCCCCTATCTTAAGCAAACTTGTGTAATTAAATGTAATTTATAAAATGAACACACACGAAATAAATTAAAATAAAAGTTGAACTGCATTTAATCTTTGGGTAACTGATACGAGAATCAGTGAAAGCGTATTTAATGGAAAATGACACACCTTCAAATATGTATACATATGTATATGCACATGTATATATATATATATATATATATATATATATATAAAGTCATGTATAGTTCCATGACAATGACATTCCTCTGACAACGTGATTGTATTACTATTTCAAGTGCAAATCGCGATAGGAAAAATAGTTAAAATAATAATAAAAAAATCATATATATATATATATATATATATATATATACTTATAAAATAAATATTATTAACAAGTGGAAGTGTAAATACCTTATAAGTAATTGCTATTACATAGCTTTGCTTACAAGTTTTCGGACAAAAGTTGCAATATTTTAACGAAATCTTATTACAATTCTAGTACAATTTGGATAAAATATAAGTTGTGAAAAAAGCCAACAAGAGCAGTTAGTTGATGAATATGTTAACAGTATCAGAATAAAATAACAGAAATAAGTACAAAAAATCCCTGAACCAATATTGTTTTAATCGAACAGACTCGCATTACACATTTTGTGATTACAATTAGAATACCCTGCGCAAGGGTACAAATTCAAGTGCAACAATAATCAGAGCAGTCGCGACTAAAACAATAAACAAAGCGCATCAACAGTCTGCTCGGGGGACATTAAAGCATGTTGCTGTTGTTCTAGTCGATGTTGTTGTTGTCGCTACTTGCAGCTTTACTTAGCTCTTAATGCTCAGAGCATAATGACTGAGTGATAACAACAATTTCTACACTTTGTTCTCCCATTTGAGCGCCTCTCTGTTTCTCGGTGTATGTGTAATCTCTAATTGTTTTGTGCGTTTTAAAAATCATATATAAAGGTTATCAAGTGGCGAATACACTGGTTCAGTTTGTCACCAGCTTTACACCAGGCACTCGCAACGGCACACACAATTCCGAATTGCAACACCCAATGAAAAAGGATAATGACCACATATCTACCGGTTACCTTTGCATACTGAACGGGCTAATTGAATAGGCTTTTGAAAGGCAACATAATTGTGAAGTGCAAAAAAAAAATCAATAAATGGATAAACAAACCAGAACAATGAATAAAACAGGAGATGTGAAATTTCAGTACCTGGCTGGCATATTCGGTTAGTGAATCACAATCTGTCTAAAATATTTGGAAATTTAATTTAAATATAAAGCGGTAAATGTCGTGTGTGAGTGATTTGTGTAATAAAAAAAAATTAAATCAAATTTTGCAAATTCAATTATGCATTGAAATATTCATTGTATGAAAAAATAACTAATAAAGTAAAAAAAAAATGTAAAAAAAAATGTAGCATAAAATTGTGCAAATGTTTCACGCTTCAATTAATTTAATCTAAAATTGACATGTTTTATTAAATAATTGATTTAGTGTAATCAAATTTAAAATGCATAAATATAAATTAGAGCCAAATAAAGTAAACTGCGGTTAATTTTTTAATTCAATCAAACTGCTGTTAAAAAGTTTCTGTATCTCTCTTTTTTTTTTGCCCTTTGATATATTTCAGCGAATATTGTGACCATTTCTTTTGGCGCTTATTGCGGCTGGCCTTCATCCAGTTTCCTCGAGCTGGGCAGCGATGCGAGTCCGCTGGAGACGGGTGCCTTGAGCGAGCAGGATCAGGGCAATGTGGCATCGGTTATATCTCTCGGCGGCCTTGTTGGCAATGTGTTCTTCCTCTGGCTGGCTGACAAAATTGGAAGAAGACGTTCGTTGCTCTTGTTGGCGGTCCCATCGCTGGTAAATGGAAAACCCCAGACTTAAGATAATCCTTAAATGGAGAACCTGTTCCTTATAGCTGGGCTGGATTGGTATACCCTTGGCCCGTAATCCAACGCAACTGATAGCGGTACGCTTTATCGGAGGAACGGCCGGAGGTGGTTGCTTTGGAGTTATACCCATTTATACGGCAGAATTGGCGGAAGACAGGTGAGCAATATAAACCAATTCCTACAGCTTCACGGAGATTTTATCGGAATACTAATCTTAAATTTAAATCAACAATTTATAACGTTAAACATTTGCAACAAGATGTTTTAAAAGTGGCTTTATGGTGATTTAATGTATACTCTAATTCCTAAGGGAAGAGTTCACATTTAAATAGAACTTTATTGTTGACTAATATAAAAATATAAAAAATAAAAATCACCTCCATTAACGTTCCATAGTGTACGTGGTATTCTGGGCACACTGCTGGTGTTGTCCTGCAATTTGGGCGTGATTCTTGCCTTTGTGCTGGGCTTCTACTTCAATTACGCAACTGTGGCATGGATTGTTTCCGCTCTGTCGGTTGTGTTTGTGGTCTGCTTTTGGTTTATGCCCGAAACCCCACAATATTTGGCACAGCACCACAAGCTGCAGGAGGCGGAAAAGGCGTTACGCTATTACCGCAATATACGCTCCCGTGCATCCAAGGAACTGAGCGAGCAGCTGCAACTGGAGCTGCACAAGCTGCGTGCTCCTGAAAAGGCTGAGGAGGCCTGCGCGGATATCGATGACACTCCTGTAACCTGGCACGATTTCGGTAAGGCAATTGTATAATTATATTTTCTTATAGAAAATGAAAAAATTGAAGAACGGTTTTTATATCTTCGATTTGCATGTTTAAATTTTTCCAAATACTGAAAATAAAGGAACAAATAATTTAGAAATGATGCTACAAATTGTTGCATGTTGTAATTGAAGTGTGAAGTGAATAACATAAGAAAATATATCTTGGTATATTTAGCAGTTGCATATTGTAATTTAATTGTGGATTAATGTTTCTTCCATAGCTAACACGAAGGCGCGAAAGGCTTGCTTTATTGGACTGGGTCTGGTGATGGCCAATCAAGCTTGCGGCTGCTTTGCCATGCTGAGCTACACTGCTCTGATATTCCATATGTCCGGCTCCAGTTTGCCGCCCGCCGTCTGCGCTATAATAGTGGGCGTCATACAGCTGGTGGGCTCATATGTGGCCACCTTGCTGGTGGAGCGAGCGGGTCGCAAACTTTTGCTGCTCATCTCTGCGGTTGGCATTTGCCTCAGTCAAGTGGTGATGGGCTGCCACAGCTACGTGAAGGTGTTGGGCCATGATACGAATGGCTTTGATTGGGTGCCCATTGCAGCGTTCTCATTTATGCTGTTCATTGCCGCGTGGGGATTACTGTCGCTGCCGTTCTTAGTCATATCGGAGATATTGCCGCCCAAGATCCGCAGCACGGGCAATATGCTGTTAATGTCCTTACTTTGGGGGCTGTCCGTGTTTATGATTAAAGTATGTATTAATCAATTGGCAATTTTCAGCACTAATTGATTTACTGCTTACAGATTCTACCACTTATGACTGCCGCATGGGGTATGCATGGCACTGTGCTATTATTTGCTTGCTGCTCGTTGTGCGGCGCTGTGTTTATTGCCATTTTCGTGCCCGAAACGAAAGGGAAGACGATTGAAACCATTTTGGCCAACTTATAGTACGCTAACCTACAATTGTTAATTGTTTTATTAGTTTAAATATTATTAAATGTTACTGTTAAAAGAAAATCAAGGGCATATCTTGTAGACTTCCTGTATACCGTAGAATTATCCAAACAAAGGCCAAAAGCTTTCCCTTGAACTTCAGCCATATCACGTAAAATGGGTAGCTTTATTAAATAGCTCACAATATAGATAATGGACTTTTTATAACCTGAACGCAGATTCTGTTATCACTTCGGTGAAATGCAATTTAAATTTGTACATAATTTGTTCTAACTCACAATATTCTCTGCTTTTTCATTGAGCAAATGAGTCAGAAAACCTAAATCCTTTACAAATACAACTAAAAAAGATTGTTTATTACTTTACTATGAATGTAAAAAGACTGAAAAGCAAGAGTTAAAAAGTTCAACTTAATGATACCCAGTGTTTAGACTTAGAGTACCTAGCTCAGTACCCACATTATTATGAATTTCTTACATACCACGTTTTTTTGAAGAGGTTTCAACTACTAATAATTTGGAGTGGTAATATCAGACCATATCAAAATTTAAAGTCTACTTATATGATAATTTGGAATTGTGTAGGTAAGTATTCCTAATAATTAGTAAAATATGCTAACTATAAAAATATATGCTCATTCAGAAGCTCATTTTCAGATTGGTGTATTTGAAGGAAATGCAACACAGTGATTAGCTAATTAAATTTCAAAGAATCTCAACCAGTATTAGGCCTATATATTGGGTGTAGATATGTCATAGGTGCGGTTGATATTTGCTGCGATGGCCACAGTCAACATCTCGACTTTCAAGTGACCTTAAGATTAAGTGCAGAATTTTTACTTGAACCCATGAGTAGAATATTTTACATCCGGAACCTATTACATGATAACTAAATGTACCATATTCAAATGTAAGCCGTAAAGATCTCTGGCCATAGGCAGACAAGCCTTCTTTTTAAAAACGGTTTTCCGTATAGTAACAAATAACACTTGTTGGATGCATGCCTTTTATGCCTATCCATGAAGTTCATTGCATTCGTTGTGAACTATTTGCTCGCTTTAGGACGACTAATCTTTTTGTCCACCTCATAAAGATCTAATATACTAAGTGTTCTCAGTCGTTTCGGGAAACATTGAAAACATCATACGGGTTTGTGACTATATCTTATTATTTGCAATATAAAAGCCGTAAGAGTCAACAAACTGAGTCGACACACCACATTTAAGGGACGTTGAAATATATAAATATCAGCATTAAATATCCGACATTGCACTTGTTAAGGCGTCTTAATCACAATGATGATTAACTTGTTGGATCAGTCGCTGCTTAATCCAAAAACACGTTACCAACTGCTGGCATCTACTATAGGTATGGACGACAATGTGTCAAGTCAAGTCAACAGTGGAACATTTTTAATATCAACTTCGGGCATACTATTTAATCACAATAGTGAACATTCTCACATTTGGCCATGGCGTTGGAATTGGTTGGCTGTCGCCGGCACTAACAAAAATAGAATAGCCCGACACTCCCCTCGACTTTCAAAAGGGGCATCGATGAGATATCCTGGCTGGGCTCCATGCTGGGCTTGGGCAGCCTCGCTGGGAATCTGACTATAGCATTTTTTCTGGAATGAGTTCGCCGATAGTACGTGAGTCTCTTTAGCTATATACATATTACATCTAATTGATCAAGTTTCTGAACAAAAGTTATTATTATTTGTGTTTTTGAAAAAACACCGTTTTCTCACTGACAATATATATTATTTTCAATAAATTAATATAATTGATTCTTTCAGAATTCGGGGCTCATTGACATCTATGGTAATGTTATCTGTTAATTCTGGAGTACTCGTTGGCTACATAATGAGCACCTATCTGGCTTATCACACATTTCCATAGAGTACTTTATTGCAAATCTTTTTCTGCCCGAAACTGCGGCATATCTTTTAAAACAAAGTAAACTGAATGAAGCGGAGAGATCTTATAGATACTATCAAAATCAGCGGCTCTCCGATGCGGACTTTGAGGAGCTGCGATCGGCGATAGATGCTCAACAGACACAAAATAAAATAGCTCTGACTTATAGGGATTTAAGTAAGCACAACATCTGTGTGCTATTTATCGAACTATTTTATTTAAACTCAATTCTCAACAGTTACCAGTCCAGCACTTAAGGGCTTAAGGACATCGACCATACTTGTACATATTGTTGGACATCGCATTCTCATTTTGATCTCCACTTTGGGCGTTGCCTTGAGCTGGATTACCTTCGGATTATTCACTTACTTAGCTCAACTGTACGATCTGAACGATCAAAACTGGCTGCCGTTGATGCTGATGATACTCATCATTTATTTGGGAAATGTTGGACTTATCGGAGTGTTTTTCGTGGTACTAGTGGAGCTGTTTCCGGCGAAGGTAGGCAAAATGGATTTACTAATTACTAAGTCGAACTTCTTCAAATCAAAATGTAATTTTAATCGCCGAATTTTAATGTTGAAATATTATAAAGATTATAATATTCTTATACTATTCATATATGTATAACATTATTTATTCCAATCGCATTTTTATGAAGCTACCTTTACAAAGCTGATGCTAGTTGATTCTTATAATTTTCAGATACGTTCTCTAGGCACATCCATCTCAGTTGTGTTTCTGAGTGTTTTAATTTTTTGCACATTAAAATTATTTCCACTTTTGTTGCATTATTATGGCATACCGGGGTTTCGGCTGCTTCCAGCCTCTTAACATTTGTATACTTTTTGTTTTTCTTGCAAGAGACTAAAGGCAAGTCTATGGTTGAGGATTGAGTTGTGTTACGTATAATAAATTAATTTCAAGTTAAGTAAAGAATTTTATCTAGTTTTATTTACTTTTACAAATTGTAGCTAGCTTTCCAGTCTAGACGCAATTCAATATTTTAGACGACTCTCATGCTATTTACCAGTCAGTCGAGACACTGGTTTGGGCATAACACAATGACGCTAAAATTAGGTGCTGTGTTTGAGAATTCAAATTGTCTGTTGAGTCGCAGAACCAGGTACCAGTTTCTGGCAACGTTTCTGGGTAAGACTCTCAGTTGAAATATATCTATAATATTTGAAACTATTTTGTATTTAATTTCCCGCAGTGAACATTTCGACTTTTGCTCATGGCATCGGCGTAGGTTGGATGTCGCCGGTGATGCGGGATCTGCAAACTACACAATCGCCGCTAAGCTTTTCGGTGTATGTGGAGGAGGTATCCTGGATTGGCTCATCGCTGGGCATCGGCAGTATCATTGGCAATTTACTCGCTGGCCTGTTACAGGATCGCATAGGACGCAAGCCCATTATGTATGCTCTAACTGTGCCATATGTGGTTAGTGCGAAATTTGTCTAGCCTCATTTAGCAGCAATGTTAAAATTATAAAACAAATCTAATATATTTTATTTACTGCAAAATTGTAGTGCTTCTGGTTGCTGTCCTACTTCGCAGAGACTGTAGAGTATCTGTACTTGGCGCGACTTCTGGCTGGCATTACCGGAGGTGGTGGCTATATTGTGCTACCAATTTTCATAAGCGAAATTTCAGATGATAAGTGAGTCTTATCTGTAATAGAATTTCCATTTAATTTTTATAATCCTTATACCCTACAGAGTTCGTGGTCGACTCGCCTCCATGGTCATGCTGTCGGTCAACATCGGCATTCTTGTGGGTTATGTACTATCCACAAGTGTTACATACTACACGGCGCCTCTATTTATCATTCCCCTGCCCATTTGTTACTTTATAAGCAATCTGTTTTTGCCGGAAACTCCATTCTATCTCATCAACAATGGCAAATTTGGTGCTGCTGAAAAGTCCTTTAGATATTATAAGAACATCAAGGATGACGATAAAAGTTCCATACTGGAATTTGAAGATATTAAACACAAACTGACAAAAGAAAATGGGTTGAAAGTAAATGCCCTCAATTACAAAGATTTTCGTAAGTGCTTTACATATTATATTAAATGTAAGTAATTTGATAGTTTTATTAAACTCCTCAGTTACTAGACCTGCTCTGAGGGCTTACGGAACTGCAATGGTTCTTGTAGTGGCCAATCAATTTACGGGCACCTTCTGCTTTACCACTTACTTATCGGATACTTTTGCACTCTCCCACACAACCCTGGATGTGAGCATGTGCACCATTGTCATTGGTGTGGTTCAGATTGTGGGCGCCTATACAACCACATTGATATGTGATAAATTCGGACGTAAGATTCTCCTCTTAATCTCCACTTTGGGCGCTTCGATCTGCCTGGCTGCCTTTGGTTGTTTCATCTACTTTGCGGAGATCTATGATCTATCGGCAGTTGATTGGTTACCTTTGGTTATACTTTCGCTGGATATATTTATGTGCCAACTTGGTCTGATTGGTGTTTTCTTTGTGGTGCTGGTGGAGGTGATGCCAGCTAAGGTAAGTCCACTTAAACTAGCTTAGTAAATATTATTTTCAATTCTTTCATCTTTGTGTTCATTTAGATTCGCTCTGCAGCTGTCTCGACTTTTGTTGTCATCCTTAGTTGCACTGTTTTTGTGGCACTCAAAATCTTTCCACTCTGCATGCAATATTGGGGCATTTCCATAACCATTTGGAGCATGAGTCTTTTTGCAATTGCCAGCTTTGTGTATTTCCTTATCTTTCTCGAAGAAACGAATAGCAAATCGATGCTGGATTCTTAGCATATATTATACCTATACATATGTATTAAATCAGACTTTCTAGTCTATAAGTAATTTTTAATAAAATATTTTTGATACTCAAATTATAAATGAGTTGCATCTCTGACAAAAAAAAAAAGTGTGAAACTTTACATTTGCAATTATAAGAAAAAAAAAACGTTTGTTTGCAATCCGAATCTTATCTCTTATCTTTATAGCCAAGCGTACCAAGAACTGCCAGAGAACGTCTATTAAAGTCAATTGCAAACAATGTGCATTTTTAGTATAGTGATGCGCCCAGCTAATGCGACAGCAATTTTACAACAGAGCTGTGAATATTCTTTACATCTAACAAAATGTGTGCGAAACTAAATAAGGTTCTAAATGATTTGCTGAATCACCGACTTCGCTGTCAATTCCAGGCGACAGTTCTCAGTAAATGCTCAATGCTGAAAAGATCAACTGAAACTACAAAGATTCCCCACAACTTTACCATTTTTAGTTAATCTAATATCCATTTCACATGGCATCGGCATCGGTTGGCTATCGCCCAAACTGCGCAAGGAAGAATCTCACGATTGGCAACTCGACTTTTCGCTAAGCATCTCGGAAATCTCATGGATGAACTCCGAACTGGGCCTGGGCGCTGTGGCTGGCAATGCATTTATGGGTCTGATGTTACCCTGGCTGGCAATGCATTTATGGGTCTGATGTTACCCCGCATTGGCAGCCGCCTCTGTCTGCTGTTTATTGCCATACCACAATCTGTAAGTGAAAGAAGTTAAAATGATCTCGACTACCAGATACAGTGAACACAAGTCATTCCCTTTCCAAGTATATAGTTGTATGTGAATATTCAATTTTCTTCCGTTTTTTCTTAAACGATAAACAAAATGTGCTTTTTATCTGCTATCACAAATCGATTTTCATTTATATCTCGGAAACGGAGAAATTTATCTATAAACTTCATGGGCTTATGGTATACCAGAACTCACATTTCATTGGGTTTTGGTTATGAAAGTAATAAAATAATTTGATATGATTTGATTTGTATCTACAGGATAACTATAGTTAATACATTCTTACAGTTCTCATGGCTGCTGATTTATTTGGCTGAAAACGATGAAGATTTCTCGTACGTACGCTTCTTGGCTGGCATATCCGGTGGTTGTATGTACATTGCTCATCCCATATTTATCAGCGAAATTTCAGATGCCAAGTGAGTAATACCACTAAGCATACAATAATTCAATTGTATGAATGTATTAATGTTAATATATATGTACACCAACAATAAAAAAGCAGCTCCATGGCGCTAAAGATAATATTTATGGAGCTGACTGACTGAATTAAACTAATTAAATAATTAAACAATTCTGATAGTTATGTAAAGCATTTGAAATTTAATGAATTTTATAAATATCAGAGAGGACCTGCAAAAAATAGATGAAAGCTTGAGCTTTTTTTATTATTTTAAAATTGTGTGAGAATTTTATAATTAAAATATTTCTCTATCTTTTTGTAGGATTCGAGGGACTTTAGCAACAATGGTGATGCTGTCTCTGAACATTGGCATACTTTTCGGCTGCATTTTGGGCAGATATCTTGATTATCAAACCATACCTTTAGCAGTGATTGTCTTTCCACTCAGTTACTTCATATTAACTCTATTTCTCATTCGAAATTCACCTGTGCGTCTCATACGTAAACGCAAGTTCAAAGCCGCTGAAAAATCGTTTAGATATTATAAGAATATCAATAAGAACAATCAAAGTGGGGAAATGTTGGAGTTTACGCAAATGCAGCATACTTTCACGGCTGATAAGCACCCTGATGAGCGTCTGGATAAGCTCAGAATGAAAGATTTTTGTACGTGATATATAACTTAAAGCTATTTATTGATCTCATACGATATTTTTTGTAGTAACTCGAGCTGCTTTCAAGGCATACGGTTCAGCTGCAGTTCTCATTATTGTTAATCAATTTAGTGGACTTCTCGCCATGGTCAACCATATGTCGAATATATTTCAATTATCTGGCAGTTCTATGGATCCAGCTACTTATACAATTATCCTTGGCGTTATTCAAATACTCGGCACTTTTGCAACAACACTTCTCTGCGATAAGTGGGGACGCCGGATTCTATTGATGGTCTCCTCAGCTGGTGTTGTTTTTAGTTTGACGGTCTTAGGTCTATTTGAATACTATTTACATTGGTTCAAAATCAGCGAATTGAGCTGGGTGCCACTGTTTTTTATGTCTCTTTATGTCTTTCTAAGCAACATTGGACTGGTTGGCTGCTTTTTTGTCGTTCTCATTGAGATGTTTCCGCCTAAGGTTAGAGCAATTATTTTGTATGATTATATTCCGTAATTTTATTTATTGATATGATTTATTCGTTAGATAACTGCGAGAGCAAGTTCTATATCAATTTTCATATGCAATGCGTTTGTGTTTTTAATACTTACGTATTTTCCCTATTGCATGAACGGATGGCAAATATCGACTACAATGTGGTCCTGTGTTGGCGTTAACGCATTTGGCTTTGTTTACTTTGTCTTTTTTCTCAAGGAAACCAAAGGAAAATCGATGCAGGAAGATTAGGATTTCAATAAAAAAACAAAAATAAAACATATATATTCCAGCAAATGTTTATAAAGAATAATTTATATTATGTTTATAAATATATAATAGTATTATCATTCGAAAATGTGGAAAAACTACCATTTAATATAAATTAAATAAATAAGTACCTAATGTTACTCAGAAAACCAAATATTTTACACAGACACTCTAAGAAGTATATTAGAATGTGTCTTTACTTCCTCACATTACACAGATAAGTTGAGTCCAGCATATTTGTTACACACGATAATCTTTATGTAAATAAGATATAACACAGTACAGTAAATAAGATATAAAATGAATATTCCGCAGCTACACAGCTGCAGTATAGAATAGAATTTCATTAGGGAATGACTGAATCATCGAGCAAGTGCTTAAAATGGGTGCAAATTACTTGAAGCTTTCAAATTGTCTGTTGAATAAAAGGAATCGCTCTCAATTATTCGGGACAGTGATAAGTGAGATAATAAAAGCTTGTTAAAATAATAGAAACATTCAAATCCATATAAATGTACATATACTTCTACAGTCAATATAATATGTATATCACATGGCATTGGGATTGGTTGGCTATCGCCCACATTACGTAAATTACAATCTACGGATACGCCGCTTAATATCCCAATCAGCATCAACGAAATATCTTGGGTCGACTCAGCGTTGTGCTTGGGTTCCGTGACCGGCAACGTGTTCGCAGGACTTCTACTGAATCGCATTGGAAGCAAGATGTGCCTACTCTTAATGGCTGTACCACACACGGTAAGAGAATTGCAGAATATTTTGGTTCAACAACTAAAATGAATTCTAATTTAGTGCCTCTGGTTATTGGTTTACTTTGCCAAAAGTGTTGATTATCTGATTATTGGTCGATATTTGGCTGGTATTACCGGTGGCGGCATATATCTTATACACCCCTTGTTTATAAGTGAAATTTCTGATGCACAGTAAGTAACAATAGCATGCTATATATCTAACGAATAATCAAGTTTGAACGCGAGTATTTTCACTCATTTCTTCAATGTTATCAATTATTTGCATTTCAGCATTCGCGGAACTTTAGCATCGATGGTGATGCTGTCAATAAATATTGGCATACTGATAGGCTACATTTTGGGCACACGTCTGGCCTATCACCTTGTGCCATTAATAGTGGTTGTCTGTCCAATTTGCTATTTTATCTTAGTTTTACTATTTATACGTGACTCACCCACGCATCTCATACGCAAGGGAAAAATTATGGCAGCTGAGCAATCTTTTAGATACTATAAGAATATTAAAGGAGAACGTGATTATCTAATCAAACTCGCTATGGTTGAATTCAACTATATTAAAGCGTCGCTTACCAATGAAGATAATGTGCCCCATGAGGTTGTCCTTAAGGACTTTTGTAAGCGATTAACTTAATTAACTATTGTCTTTGTATATAAAGGATTGTATTTTCTTTTAGTTACACGAGAAGCGATTAAGGGCTATGGTATGGCGGCTGTGATCATCATTGCCAATCAGTTTAGCGCTCTCTTTGTGATGATCAACTATATGTCGGACATATTTGCAAATTCGGGCAGCACCATGGATCCTAATACCAGCACAATTATCATTGGATCAGTGCAAATTCTTGGCGCTTTTGTGGGCACCGTTCTGTATGATATCTTTGGCCGCAAAGCTCTCATGGTGGTATCAACAGGAGGCGTGGCCTTAAGTCTGGCTGCCTTTGGCTTCTTTACACACTTTACGGGCATTTATGATTTCACAGCGTGGAGCTGGGTGCCAGTCGCAATTATGGCAATTGATATCTTTCTAGGGAACATTGGTTTGATTAGCTGTCTGTTTGTGCTGATGGTCGAAATGTTTCCCCTTAAGGTTGGTTTGCATATAACAACTGCATTTATTGTTCATTTGAATTTTTGTGTTTCGTATTTTCAGATACGCAACACGGCTACATCAATTGCCATTGTTATATGCAGCTCGTTGGTATTTCTAATTCTCAATATCTTTCCCCTTTGCATGGCTGGTTGGGGTTTGCCTGCCACGTTGTGGTCTTGTGCGGCCATCACAGCCATTTGTTTCCTTTGCTTTTTATTCTTTTTGAGAGAAACCAAGGGAAAATCAATGCTAGAGAATTGAGACAGAATATAAGTCCCGCTCTTAAGATTACTTTAGCAATGATATAACCCTCTTTTAAGCTAGATTGTTCAATTTAACATTGCAATTTCGCTGTATATCATGATAATAAAAGACGTTTTTGTTTCGGCATATTTTTCATGTGTATTATTTTAAATAAATTTAATTACATATAATTAGTTAAAGTTAACATAATACAACGTTCTGCATATTTTTATACAATTTGTTGATGTGTGTTTTGCTTTACATAGTTTTTTAGGCAGCAAACTTAAAACTAATTAAAAAACTAGCATACTAAATCACAGTGTTTTTTCCCAAGTGAAAAAATTTGCATAAAAAAATCTACAAAAATTTCTAGCATTTTAAATACATACAGATTTGCGAATTGCTATAATAATATAGATATATGGGATTTTTAACTTGTTGTTTAACTTACTTTTTGATTTAAAACGTATTTTAAAACATAATTTTCGCATATGAAAAACAAATATTTCTTCTTTAGCAGCAACATTATAATTATAATAATAATAATAATAATATGATAATAATAATAATAATATTAGGCATAAATGGCTAACAATTAAAATGCATAAAACAAAAACAAAAATTGCTGTTCACAAAATGCAACAAACAAATTTTGGATATAGCGCCTGCCGTTTGCCATATATATAAATATATATATATATATATAAATATTGGCGTTAATAAACTAAATGTAGCTGATAATAATTAATAATAAATGTGGCTTGAAAATTGAATCACAAAATTGGCGCACGTTTGCAATTTGTTCAACATTAGGTTTAGTAGGAGCATTTTAATATAGTGTTTAGTGTTTAGTGTTTAGTGTATTGTGCTTAGTTTGTATTTTTCACATGCTACTAATTACGTATCACTGGTTCGTTGTCAGCTGTATCACGTCTTTTTGGGGCAGCGCAGATAGCGCAATACCGCATAGCCGAGGCCGCGAAATACCAGAAAGAACATCATCAATACGAGCGTATTTAGCCAGAGTGGTGATGTGGAGTTTTGTGCTTTGAGTATTTCCTCATATGGAATGAATTCGGTTGTCTGCTGTTTGCATATCTCATAGCTGCTCGGCGATCCACAGCTGTAAATGTCGTAAATGCAAATGTTTAGATATGGAAATGGATAACAATTCAATGACTTCTCAAATACATACATGTATATATAGTATATATATAAGACTTGCTTACCTAATAGCTGGTCCCTCGCGGAACTCAAGTATTTGCATATTCTGGTATGCATAGTGTATCATCGATGTGTAGCGTATCCAGCTGAGACCTTCCGGAATGCGTGACGATAGATAGCCGCCAAAGAGTTGCGTGGCCAGCGTATATAATGCACTCAGCGTAATACTCACATTCATGTCCATGCAACAGGCGCCAATGAAGAAGCCAACACTTTGCGCCACAATCGTATTCAAGAGCAGAAAGATGAGCATCAAAAAGAAGAGCTTAAAACTGCACATGAAAAGAGTCAAGTTATTTAATAAGTCAATGGATGTTTTTGTTTTAGGGATAATTGGAGATGGTTGTACCTGCTGCAGCCCAGCATCGGATAACTAATCATGAGGTAGACAGTGGGCAGCGTTATGACCAAAGGTAGCTCTGCACACATTTTGGCCAGATAGTAGGCAGAGAGGCGATAGGCGCCCGAACGACGCTCCTTGCTGATCACCTCACGTTCCGAAGGAACTAAGCAAATGGTCATGAAATAAAGTATTAAATCAATGTGACAAGTTATATTAACAATAATCAATCAAAAGTGCATTGGAAGTAAGGAAAATCTAAGTATTGAATTAAAAATGTTTTATAAAAATTACAAAAACTGCTCAGGAAATTGATAAATGAATTGGAGCACAATGAAAGCAGATTTTCAAGCTTGCTATGGCTACTTAAACATTTAATCCAATAATTCAGATAGCATAGTTTTATTGGCCAAACTCTTACTCACATGAATTGAGCGCACCGAAGAGCGCAAAGAGCATCCAATAGGTTTGCGAGAAGAACATCCAGCCCTGGAGATCGTGCAGGAACTCCTCGGTGCGCGGAAGCTGAAACCAAATGGCGCCCGCCATCAGCGCCAAACCAATGGTCTGGAACCAATTCAGTTTGGACAACATGCGTGGCTTGGCCTCCTTGAAGTTGCGGCTGGAGAGCACACTGAACTGTGTGTGGAAACGTGTGGGATACGAAAGCCAATCGTCATCGCTGGCGGAACACTTGCCAACGCAATACGATTGGCAATCACTGGAGGCACAGGAACTGAAATTCGATTGCGAATCGGCGCCGCACCAAACTAAATGCTGAGCAGCTTCCTCATCCGCTTCGCAGCTGTTCGTTGTGTGATGTAAATCAGCATACTGATGATGACGATGCTGATGATGATTGTGATTGTGATTGTGATGATGCTGATGATTGTGATGCCGCTGATTGTAATAGTCGTTGATCATGTCGTTGATCAGAATGGTGTCGTGCTGCTGCTTGAACTTATCTGGGCTTTCCTGATGGCTGCTTATGCAATTGCGATTCAAATAGTTGCCATGCGATTCTCTGGCGGCTATGAACAGCTTCTCGCGTATATCCGGATACGACTTTAATTGCTCCACTGCAAACGGAAAAATGTGAACAAAATGTTTTGAACTTATCGATTTTAGTTTTCACTTACACACAAAGTCTGCGGGATTATAGTGTGGCTGGATGGTCACTCCAATGTCCTCAAAGTGCCGGTAGATATTGTTCACCTCGCCAAAGTAGGCGGTGCGTCCCTGATGCAACAGCAGCAGCTTATCAAACATGTGAAACATCTGCGACGACGGCTGATGTACGCTTATCACAATCGTCTTCTGCTCCAGCTGTGCGTAACGCTTCAGCACCTTCATCAGCGAAATGGCCGAGTGGCTATCCAGACCGGAAGTCGGCTCCTAGCAAACAACAAAAGTTATAGAATTTATTTTATTATATGATATTTAATAATAATAATAGTAATCATTAATCATTTACAAGACAAGGTAGTTCGCAGAGACATCAGAATCAATATTTAAGAACCCAAAAGAATGGGTTTAACTCTCTTTTAAATTGAGAATAAATATTAAATCGATTTAAAGCTATCTTTCTAGTTACTTATTTAATATGATTTGATGTTGAAAATATATGGCTTAAAGCCTTGCATAAAGCGAGTGGTTAAGCTAGGGACGAAGATTTAATCTGCAGGAAAATAAATTTAAATAAAATCAAAAATCAGATTTTGTTTTGGCAAAGCTAAAATAACTACAAAATGAACTAAAAACTAACCAACCAAAGATAACAATTCTGTTTTGTTATTTCAATGCACTTTCCACTGGAAACTTTAGTTGAGAAGCTATGAAATCTCTAAAATGTATTTAAAAGTAACTAACTGATATATATGCTATTGTTTTATGTATTTTTTTTAACTTTACCTTGTAAACTAGACAAGGCAATATTTTATTAAAAAAATATTCTAAGCTTTTAGGCTGTTTTCTTATTTATTTCATCTTTTTTTTTGTACTCACATCGAGCAGCATGAGGAGTGGATTCGTCAACAGTTCGCAGGCGATGTTGGCGCGCTTCTTCTCCCCGCCAGAGAGACCGCGATTGAGGTAATCACCAAACTTGGTCTGCTGGCAACCGGTGAGCTCCAGCGTGTCCAAAATGTGATCGACGAGACGCATCTTCTCGGCACGCGCCATTGACTCGGGTAGACGCAGCAGCGCCGTATACATGACGGTCTCGCGCAACGTTAGCTGTGTGAAAAAGATCTCCTCTTGGAGCACATAGCCAATCTTGCGGCGCCACTTCTTTGAGAGCGGCTCGCGGTTGAGATAAACGCCGCCGCTCTCAAAGTGCCGCTGACCGCTGAGGCAATCCAGCAATGTTGTTTTGCCACTGCCCGAGGGTCCCATAATGGCCAGCACCTCGCCGGGACTAAAGAAACGCAGATAGAGAAAGAGAAAGAGAGAAGGAGAGAAAGAGAGAGAGAGAGGGAGAGAGAAAGGGGAAGAGTTGTTGTTGTTGTTAGTTGTCACTGGTTCAGTGGGTTTTGTTGATGTTTATTGTGCCACTGGTGCGCAATGTTGTTTATTTGTTGTTGCTGTTGGTTGGTTGGTTGGTTGGTTGGTTGGTTGGTTGGTTGATTGGTTGCTTGCTTGGTCGTTTGTTGTTGTTACCTGACTAATCCACTCACATCGGAAAGTATTTTGCGTTCGTTGTGCAACACGTTTAAATTCTGAAATGTCAACTGTAATGTGGGTAGTTTCTGTTGTTGCTGTTGCTGTTGCTGCTGTTGTTGTTGCTGGTGTTGGCCAAGTTGCTGTTGCTGTTGGTGTTGGTGTGCAATTGGTTGCTGCTGCTGTTGTTGTTGCTTATAGGGAAATGTCAGCGAAGGCGTTTGAGCCGCACTGTAAAATTTAAAAAAAAAATGAGAGAAAAGTTATTAGGCATATACATTAAAGTGACTTAAAAATAGTTATAAAAATGCACAAAACAATAAGAGCATTACAAATCAAATTAAATAATATAATACAAATTAAACGAGCTAAATGCGAATGAAAAAAGTTCAAACTTATGGCACTTAAACTGTCAATAGCTTAACAGAGTATGATGATTTAAATATAAATAAAAAACATTATAATTAAAATACTTTGGAGTGTTTTTGAGGCTACACTTCAATTTGATACCCTGTGATAAGAGATGCACAAAAGTATGCAAGCAATTAGTTTGCAAATATAAATCTCAATTTACTTGAAACTATAAACTATATAAACTATAGCTATATCAATCTCATAAACAGTTTTCTTATTTATAAATTATTATTTTATTTATACAAATAAACCCACAATGGGTACTTGGAATGGCATCGCCAAATTTGAACAATGTGAATGTGTAGGAAATCAGGCTATTATACGATTGTGATATATGCTTATAGCTTTCTGATACCCTGCTTACAACCATCGACTGGCTGGCTGCAGGGTATAAAGAGGCAAAAGTCAATGCACCCCTCCACAGGCAACAATCAAAACAAAATAAAAGTAAAATCAGTGTGCGCTGTGTGTGTGTGTATGTGTGCATATATAAATATGTGTATGTGTGTGTGTTTATTTCTTTATGTGAGCAGCGGCAACAATACAACGGACGGCTTGTTCTCCACTGTCAACTGTTATCGCCGATATCACATGTGTGTTGTGACGGACGCATTATCACAAGCGCGCTCTCTCTCTCTCTGTCTCTCTCTGTCTCTCTCTCTTTTTCTCTTTGTCTCTCTCTCAGTCAGTGCGGCTTGCACGCACTCACGCACTCTCTGCGTTCAGTGTTCTCTGTTTTCTTTTGCTCAACTCTCGGTCAATGCTTCTGGTTCCGCACTCCTCCTACAACACAGCAATATGCACAAATACCAACGCAGACCGAACGAGTCAATAGCCTCTGCTCACGCCTCCCCTTTCTCCCTCCCCCCCCCCCCCCCCTCACTCTATCTCTCTGTATATCTCCTCTCTCTCAGTGTCGACTTTTGTTGTTGCTGCGTACCTATCAAATTTATTTAAATATTTTCTTTTTTACTGAGCTGAGCCCCCCTCTTCCTCAATATGCTGCTTTAATATACTGCGCAACTAGCGGGGAATTCTTCTCAAATCAAATTAAAAAAAAAGAGAGGATAAAGGTGTAGCCACAAACAAATTTTATAAATAATATTATATAGCTCCGAAATGCAGCATCCAGAGGAGAAAAAAAATTTAAAAAAAAAAGAAATGTAAATGTTCGAAATGGGAAGCCAAAGTAAATAGAGAGTGCAATGAACCGCAATGTGCGTGCATATGAGACAGCAACATCCACAATAACAACAACAACAACAACAACAATAACACCAGCAACAATAGCGGCAGCAATAACCACAACAGTAACAACAACAGCGACGTGAGGCACAGGCCCCAAGTGGGGGTCAATGCAGTCAGCAAGAGACAACGTCAAACAAAGCAGACGCATACAATAACACATACACACACACACACACACACACACACACACACACAACAAGAGCTGCAGATACATGAATTGTTGCATGCGCATGCAAAGTATCTGATGAATGCCTAGGAGAAGTCTTACACACAAACACACACACACACACATCGAAAAGCAATCAATGTCCGGGTGTGATATGAACTGACAACATGTCTTAACAATTGTCTTAACACTCAGCATGGCTCAAACTTAGACGATAAGTTGTTTTTTTTATATTAGCCCAAATAGTTTCCTGTTGCCATAAATTCCATTTTGAATATGTGCATATGAGTTTAGTCAATTTATTTAAGACTTTCGCAACACTGTGGAATTAACGGCTATAGTTTTGAGTCAGATATAGTTACTAAGAAGAGAGCCAAGCTGTTAAATAATCCAAAATATATATATATCCATATATATTTATTTCAAACTTTTAAACTTTTACACTCAGCAAAACAAAGCGAATGCAAAATTTAAATAAATTATGAAATACTTTATTTTGACTTTGAAAACTGGGTTGCCCAAAAACGCTTCATTTTGCAGTCTATAGTCCTCGAATTTCTTTTTTTTTCTATTAAAGGATCAGTGTAATGTTATTTGACCAAAATAAATATTGAAACCGTTAAGAGCTGATTCAGGGCATACTCATTAAATAATGATGGTATCAAAAGTTATAATTTCTTCGGCTACCGCTATTTCATATGGTAAATCCTATTTACATATTGGCCAAAATATCTTTCACCTGAATAGAACAGTTTGGCAAGCTCTCAAAGATGTCTCTTGTTGCCTACGTGAGCCTTGTCACATTGAATCTACGGAAAAAGAAAAACTCAAACACAGCTTAACCAATTTGATGGTTGTCGACAAATGATGATTACAAATTAAAAGAAAGTATAAAAACCGAGTTTTGAATACCCGGCAATAATATTTTTATTTTTGTTTTTCTTTGTGTGTTTCTTATTTTGTAGTTTGGTGTTGATATTTTTGTTGACAACAGTTTCTCCCACCAAAATGAAAACTGTGAACTTTGTATGCTGTTTTTTTTCTCACCGGGCACGTGTTGTTAAGTGATGTTTTTTGTTCTAGCTTTTAAAATAATTTAAAAAAATATGCATGCACTGCAGTTAGTGGGGAAACGCGCCATCTGAGCCGTGTTTGGTTTAATGGGTCAGTTCGAGGAATGTCATGACAAATTCATGACTGTGCCAAACAAAAGTCAGCAAAGCAAATTAAAAAAAAAAATTTTAAAAAGAAAAAAGAAACGAAAACCGCATCACATTTACAAGGTTATCAGAACTGCCTTACCAAAGGGCGAATTTGATTGTATATGCAATAAAAGACATAAAGCGATGACTAGTTTAGATAAAAAATTGTATACTGATTAATAAAAGAAAGGATTCCCCATTTTCGAAAGTAGCTGAACAAGACAAGACATAATATTAAAGCAACAAGTTTCTATTTGATAGTCGTCATTAGTGCGGGTCCAGCGAAAGTGTTGAAACGCCAGTTTCCAAAATCAAACATAAAATTCAAATAAAAAAATAAAAACTTAAAAAATTAAAAATAAACATACAAAACGGCATAATGAACTAAAACTAATTTCCAAAATATATATATATATATATATATATAATATTTAAGTGAAGCATACCGAATTGGCAATGCTCTTTGTTTTGGTGGAAATTGAAATATTTGAAACATGAACAAAACCAATTTAGATTCAGGTTACAAGAAAGTTGAGACCACCATGCAACAGACTACATAATAAGGTTCATATTTTTGCTGGCTATAATTTATGTAATTAATGAACAAAGCAACTAAAATATATAACAACGACAACAACAACACTCATCATCAACATTAACTGACTGATTGAGTATGATGCCATTTTGATGTTGATTAAGGCCACTAAGGCAAACAGCTTTCTAGTTGTTGCTTTTAGCTGTTAAAGGCAGCTACTATGTTTAACGGGGACGAAAGAGAGAGAGAGAGAGCGAGGTAAATATATGCATATATATATATATATATATACATATATGAGAGAGGGAGAGATTGAGAGTTTGGGAGGGGTGGGGAGGGGCGTAGGTCTGGCGCTTCTTGTATGTGCGCAAAAGGTTGTTGACTCTTTACAACAGCAAAACAGACGCGAAAATAATATAATTCGCACACACACACAACAACGACGCTCTCACGCATGGAAAGAAGGTGAGTAAAATCAAAAAAAAAAAAAATATAATAAAAAAACACGCAAAAATTACGTGAAAGTTTGGCATTGCATACAACATCAACACACACACACACACACACACACATATACACACATGGAGCTTAGCAGCGCACGCAATCAAAAGACAAATTTTTCAAATTCTTATCGCGTTTTTTATTTATTTATTTTTATTTTATTATAATTATTTTGTATTTTTTTTTTTTGTTTTTCTTTTTTTTTTTTGTGAACACATTGACCGATATTAAACAAGTCGCATGTTTACGCAAGTTGGCCAGGTGTGTGTGTATGTTAAGGGTTTGCAAAGTTCATTGACAGCGGCTTTTGTTTTCTTTTTGTTGGAATTTGTAGGCTTTTTTCTATTTTTGGCTGGCGTTATTATTTTCTTCTTTTTTTTTTTTTTTTTGGTTATTATGCCAATCTTTATAATTCCAAAAAGTTTTGTAGTTTCAATGCTTGAAATGAAAGCAAAAATTTGAATATAAATAGTTGAAGGCTGACAAAAGATCTGGGTCACCAATTAGTTGTTGTTTATTTTTATTATTTTTTATTTGTTTTGTCTATCAAAAATTTTTGCAATTTATTTGATGTTCCCTTTTTTTTGTAAATTTTTTGCTCAGCTGCTTTTAATTAATGTTGTTGCGCTGCGATGGAACTTCCTAAACAAATTGACAAATGCGGAACATGTATTGCTACATATGTATATATATATACATATATATACATATAAATATATATTATATATTTAGTTCGTTGTTCGTTTTTGTCTTTCATTTCAAAGCTATGACCACGCTCAATTGCGTTTTTTTTTTTTGATTGTGGCTTTTTTTTTGCTGTTGTCTTTCTTTTTGGCGTGTTACTGACCCAATTCTTTTGTTTGCTTGCTATGGTCGCTTTGGTCATTTCTTTTTGATTTGTTATTTATGGCCGACTTAATTTGTGGCCTCGACTATGCAAATTTGTTGTCTTCATTTGGGTTCTTCTTTTTTGTTTTTTTTTTTTTTTTGTGGTTCTACACGCCCAAGAGTTATCGGGGAAAATGTATCTTAAAGCTTGCATTCATAAAAGTATGTATACCTCTGTCTGAT